ACGTAATACAAATATACTGAAAATATGCAAACTTTGCAAGGCTATATTTTCCAAGCTTTACAACATTTCGCAACCAAATTTTGCAAGTTTACTAATTTTAATAAGTTCTTAACGGGAATTTACTTTTTTTGTGCCTAGATCGGTTAGATCAAAAATTTGTCTAACATGCAAGTTGTGTATTCAGCTTAGCTCTCAGTTGCAAGAAAGCCGGATGATTAGCGCACCTTCACTTACTTACATATACTACCTCTCTATAATCGACCTATTATAACGACCAGAGACAATGCGCTCTTATTAAAAGTCTCGTTACTCACAAATGGAAACTGGTCACGTGTAAACATTCCCAATGTACTCCAGTTCATTGATCTGACAAAATTCTCATGTTCATCTTCTCCAAAGCCATAGAGAAAGGTCGAAGGTAGTTTTGTTGAGATCTGTAGATACTGATCACTGAACACAAGAGGTGCCACTGAGGTGTCCCATCTGAAAAATAGAGTGTTTTAAGACGCTCTGTTCACGAGCCTCAGTAGGAGACTTAAGCTACGGTAAACCAATGCAAAACTCACAGAACTTGACCGTCAGATTTTCTTGATATCTTCAAAGAAAATGGAAATTTCACCACCTCTGTATTATACATTGGTTCACGTCCTTCATATACTGAGGTAAGATTGAGCGGTACTTCGTAACGGTCGTTTTCGCTGTCAAATATCTACACAAGATATAATTGCTAGTACATATTTGCTTATTAGAGGGACTGGTGGGTTGCAGTTGAAAATATATTGTTAAAGCTAGGGTTTACACCATCAAAGTTTCTGTGATCACAGTAGGAATTTTGCATCGGTAAAATCGGCAAAGTTTTGAAGGATTTGTAAGAAATGTTTGAGGGAACTGATTTAATGTTTAACGCTAAGTTAGTTCCTGAAACATTTCTTGCAAATCCTTCAAAACTTAGAATTTACTGATGCAAGATTCCTACTGTGATCACAGAAACTTTGATAGTGTAAACGCTGCTTCACTCGCGTCTGTAATCAGTTGACGCCATAATTCTGACCCTCAACTTTTTTTCCAATTTCTTCAAGAAGAAACTGGCCGTACCTTAATCCGCAAGACATCATTGTGGCGAAATTGTAGATAGACTGTAATCTTCTCGCTGTGTTTCCCGTACAACGTTCTCTTGTCTTCACGAGATAAATGATATGCAGTTGTCAGACTTTCAGGAAAATCTTCCTTTTTTATCATTCTGTATGCGTTGAACTTGTTTGGGTAAAAACATGATGGCGCTTTCTGGAATATGGAAAGACCCACTGTTAAAATTTGAACACAGTTTTGGGGTTTACGCTTCAAAATTTCCAATTTCTATTTCCGGTGTCCAAACGAATTTAGGCATCACTTTATATTTTCTGCGTGAGCACAGAATACCATACAGAAGTCCATCTCCATTGTTTTTTTTGCGTAAGCGCTATTCGTCATGATTCGTCACTCAGCAAGTATACCGTAAACAGAAGCAGTCACCCCCCTGGACGTCCGCCATTTTGAGTATTTCCAGGGGGGGTGATTGCTTCTGTTTACGGTACTTGCTGAGTGACGAATCGTGACGAATAGCGCTTACGCAAAAAACAATGGTGATGGACTTCTGTATAGTATTCTGTGGCGTGAGTCTGTTAGTTTGTTCGGAATCATAAGCCTTGGTATTTATTAAAAAATAGTGTGTCTTCGCGCGCTTGTGGTGCACTGGTGCAACGTGCTGTTTTGCGCATGCTTGAAATACTAATTGACAGTTTTGCGCATGCTTGAAGTACTGATTGACAGTTTTGCGCATGCATGAAGTACTGATTGACAGTCCAATCATGCATTTAATTTAACATGGAGCGTTCAACACTGTAAATATGATAAACATTTTTGGAATGACTACTGCTTTGTAACTGATTAAAATACTCAGCGTGATGTCGGAGTAGTTTGCCAATCAATGAATAGCTTAAAAGCAATTATTGTTGAATCACATGCAGTGATAATTTTCATGCGCCATGGAACTGATCATATCACATTTCTACATTTTTCATCGTTTCACGTTATTCCATTGTAAACATCAAGACGATTTGATATCTAGACTACGTTTTCATAGATTTTCGTTTTCTCCATTAAGAAGGGAATAGAGAAATGGTCTAATTAGCTGAAGCAATGCAGGAACACTATGGTTGACCGTAGCCTTAAAGTTTTCAAATCTCTTCATATGAGCTGTACCAGTTGAGATGAATTATGTCACGAAATGTTTTAGTCCTGTCCGTAAACGATCTTTATAAATGAAGTTTATACCATTACGAAATCAAAATTAGCTAATTCAACTTTGTGCGCCCCCCGAAATGTCTTTTGCATCAACGCTGTGATAAGAGTTTTAAATTATTTAAATCGTTGTTATCCAGCCCAGGTCCATATGAACAACCCCTAACTACTGAATACAAAGACAGAAAAGCTTGGACTTTACCTGCTGGTTAACAGGTTGCTTCCATACACACCCCCTTGCTTCGCACAATGTTTGGTTCACAGCTTCTTCGCCTTCACTCAGACGTTCAGGGTAGCAATCAAATCGAGCATGATCTTCAACAGTTTCCGAGTCAACAAAATAACATCCAAACACAAATAAAAGAGCGACAAAAGTTTGAAAATATAATGCCATCACTATAGGTAGAATTACACCGAGCTTATGTTTGCATAACTAGCCGTGTCGGTGCGCACGAAATACAAAAGCACTTGTGGAAATACTTGTGTCATACATATATAAAAAAAACAAATTTTGTCATATGTAAACAGGATTAAGTTACCGAATGATGTCGACCACTAGCAATGAATTCGATCGGAATTACGATATCAAACGCATTACTACGTCAAAGTTGAGGGTATACGTTCGGGCATTTTCAGAATCCATGTCTGACGTGATTAAAATATAATAGGAGCACTACGGTTATGAGAAAGCTGGGGATTGATAGGGATACAACTACCTGTAAAATACAAGGAGAACTTCGACGTCAAGGCGCTTCATTTCTGCCATCTTGCATGGTATGGCTTCAATAGACCTTACGTATAATGACGTCACAAGGCTTGTTGCCCGCGAGGAATGCTGGTCTTAGTAGTCATCGCCCGGGAAAATTAAACATTCAAAATGGCCACTATCGAAATTTTCCCAGGCGATAACTACTAAGACCAGCATTCCTCGCGGGCATCAAGCCTTGTGACGTCATTATGCATGAGGTCTATGCTGACGTTGTTACTCCAGGTATGTATGGAGGTCACTGGTACTATGACGTCACGTATAAGACAATATAATACGTGTTTCAATGTTACTGAAATGCATAACGAGTATAAATGTCTAATGATTAATTAGCCATTGAAATATTTGCATCGCTATAAATACAAAACCTACTGTATAACTCTTAACGTTTTAAACAATTTTTACTTTAACTTGCATTTTAGAAAAAGCGGTTTAGCCTTTAATTTAGGTTTACCAACTGAAGTTGATTTCTTTCATGAAAAGATTCAAGATAAACGTTGATTTTACTACTTAAAATCAGCCATGAAATTTTAATGATAATCATGAAACCACAAAGCCAAATTTGGTAAATTAATTTCTATTCAACGTACACGTCGTTAACCGTTATTCATTTCTAAAGATAAAGCCATAATGGCGAGAAATGATATTAATTTATAGAAAGCTGAAGATTGTGTGTTCTTTACAAAGTCTCTGGTTGGGTAAGTGATTTTAACATTTTCTATGAAAAATATCATAAGGTCCAAATATCAGATGTGCTTAAAAGATTTAACGGAGAATGTATATCCGATGTTATTTGGAGTTATGTAAGTGGCATATAAAACTGTTTTGCCAGCGTTGTTGCCCCTATGAACAGGTTGCATTTTGCTGCAAAGAAATGATTTGGTTTGTTTAGATATGAAATAGTTGTACAAATCCAATTTACTCATTTGTATTATCTTATTTACCTAAATCAATATGATTTCAACCATTGTTAACTTCAAACACAAGAAATCTCCATCATCAGCTGTTTTCACTGGAATGATTGTCATCTTAAATTCACTAATACTGTTTAAATTAAACCACAATTACACTAGCCCGTTACATTATCGAAGTTTCTTTCATCAAATTCAAATGTGTATGCCAGTGTAAACTTCTTAAATCCACAGTTACGCCACAAGAATGTGAATGGCAGTTATTATTAATACTACATACATGCAACAAGGCGAACTGATGGACTAATTGAAAGATCAATACAGATGAATGAAAATAATTCCACTAAATTAAAATAATTCCACTAAGGTTTTCAGTTAATTTAGTACCAGCGGTGTTGAAAATTATACTATTGAAGATATCGACAAGCAAAACTATACTATTTGCGCCATCTTGTATCGAGCACTCGCTAGCCTTTCATTAACGAAAATATACTTAGCAGGAACATACATCAAATTACCACGGCCCTTTGAAAAACAGGCAACTGAAAGGTTACCGTGGATAAATATGTTTAAATAATAATAATAAATCTAATATGATCGGATGAAATGTTTTCGAGTGAATGATTCCAGTAGCTCAGTTGATAGAGCGAGTCATGCTAGCATTTCGAAGGTCGTGGGGTCGAAACCCAGCCGGGGTAACCAATGTATATATACATATATACTACATGAAAACAAAGGCAGATCGTGTATTAAGCCAACAATGCTGATGTTATGTGGGTCATTAACTATTAATTGTTACAAAGTTCTTAATGATCATTTCAAACCTCACAAAGAAATGTGGGTGGAGAAAGCGACCACAATCTTGATTAACGTATGGAAACACGATTTAAATTAAATCTCTTCCCACAAAACATTTTCAATCTTCTATCTATAAACACTTTGTGTCATTATAAATAGAAACAGCTTCGGACTTTGGTCTTAGGATTTGCTCTTGTTTAGAGAAGAGACGCATTAGACAATACAAACGCATTACGATCAGGTCAGTGTCAGCCCTTCGTTAGTTCATCTGACAACGCGGCGCGATTTTTCCGTTTGTGAAAATTAATAAAACAGCCAATCAAAGGACATTTTAAAAAAGATATGTAGACCAAATAACTGAAAATGTTATAGCGTTTCTACATATTTAAAAAAACTTAAACCCGGATCAAAGTTATCGGTCAGTGAAAATCGAAAAATCGCGCTGCGTTGTCGAATCGCGTCCGGTGTGTCCGGACCTTAATACACATTATCGCATTAAAAAAAAGTGAATGTGTTTACAAGAATAGAACTTAATATTAACATATGATAAGAAAAGTACAATTCTAAATCTAAAACTATTGTAAAAATTAGTATTTCAATAAAATCTGATCTAAAAGGGATGAGATATATAATTTCAATAATATATTGGGACGACAGTCGTGTTCCTCATCCCAGTCACGTACATTGTCTTACAACATGTTATGTATATCAGCGACAAGCGTCATTGTAAAGGCTGATTTCCACTGTTGCGTTTTTCATACGCACGTACACGCACGTAAAACTTTGAATCCTATTCTTTTAAATATTATAAGTTTACAAATAAGTTAACAAATGCATACTAAAACTTGCGGAACACTTAATTCTGTTGCTTTTCTATTTGGTTAGTTCATAAGTAACATTTAAATGGATTTAAAGTTTTACGTGCGTATACGCACGTATGAAAAACACAACAGTGGAAATCAGCCTAAAACGTGACGAATTTAATAATAATAATACAGTGAGCTTGTAACGCATATCAGCACGTTACACGAGAAGAGGGTAGTCTATAGAGAACCTGGGAACGAGATTACGCGTGATCCTAAAGTTTGTCCATTATAGTATCCATCAACAAAATGCACAATCATGCGGTGTTTTTCTGGGACACCTGGGGCATTGAGTATTTCTGAAAACCCACCAACTGTGCGGCCTTTTGGACGAAATATAAAACAGCTTTTACTTCTTTGAACAATTCTTACTCCAAGTACTAGACGTTCTCTATAGCTTCAGTGCGCAAATTCTTTTGATTGTTTAGGCTAGCAAGGATCAACCAAAAAGATTAATTGGATTTGCGAACCAGTTGTGTGAAGATGTGAAAAATTTACCTGATTTTAGGAGAGTTGTTGGTAAGAGTATTGTTTTTATGAAATAAAGAGTACTTTCTTACACTATCAAAGGTTCTGTGATCACAGTAGGCCGGAATTTTACATATAGGTATATAAATTCTAAGTTTTTGAAAGATTTGTAAGAAACGTTCGTGATAACTGAATCAGTGTTTAACATTGTTCTAACTGACTCGGTGTTTAACAAAAGCTTCCGATGCAAACTTCCTACTGTGATCACAAAAACTTCAATAGTGTAAACCAGACTTGACAAACAGTTAAACCTATTTCAATAATGTTCCCTTTGCTTCAAAAGCACTACACGTAAAGACTATAGAGTATTTTTTGTTTCATTTGAAAAACGAAGAGAAAATAAGCGTGTCCTAAATTAGTTCGCCTCAAATTTTGGGGGGAGGAGAAGCGAGACGCGGAAACGTTATATAAAGAGAGTTTATTTTCCTGATGCCGGCAACAGATGTGTTTAAAGACACGGCATATATAAAGTATGTGTGTGTGGGAGGAATTTTGAACATATTCATGCCTTGATATGCAAATATTCCTCGATTTGTGTGTGCAGTGGAGAAAATTTGTCATTACATTCACCGAAACATAGATACACATCGTGTTTAACCGAAATTTGCACAAGTGGCCACGATTATACGACGCCAAGTTGGATTCGATACTTTTCCTTGGATGATTGTTGGAAAAGAAGTTGGTAAGGGATGAATTGATCGGGATTGAGTCAATATGCGAGGGTGTTAGAAGCTTCCTAAATATCGCTGCAGCTTGCCTTTGCGTTTCAGGAAAGCCGCCGGAGTCGAAACTTAAAGCAAGTCATGCAAAATGCACGAAATTCCAGAACATGTATGACAGAAGTTCAGGATACATTAATCTGTTAAGCTCTTGTTCCCAAATTTCCATTGCGTGCTAATCTGCCTCTTAATATTAGCTGCAGCTGGGCAATTTATGGTAGGAATTTAGATCCATAGCAGAACAGAAGCATGCTTGCAAATGTAAGAAATAACTAGGATATCGCGAGGTTTCAACATGGGAATATTCATGTTACACAAAGTTGTTGAAAAAGTTGGGACACCACAAATTGACTGAAGTAAAGTTTATTTGCGAGGGTGTTGAGCGCGTTCTAAAGCTCGCTGCAGCTTGTTTGCGCTCAATTAATGGCTCGGGAAAGATCGAGGCTAAAATTTACAGCTTGCAAAATGAATGAATAGAAATTTCAAACAAGATTTCAGAAAAGTTGATTCCGAGATACAGGCGTATGGAAGCTGATCTCCTAATTTCCCTAGCTCGCTCTAAGTCGGACTGCTAAATAACTTCTGTGCATGCGAGAAAATCGAAGCCACAAGGGTATAGCCCATAGTCTAAATAAAACATTCATGAAATTTAGTTATGAAATATTCGCCAAGGTCCAGTTTATCCTTGCACATATTTCATGCACGCAATATTGACAATTTCTAAAACTTAAGACGATGATGATGACACCTGTCATATATTAACATATAATGCCAAAACGGATTTTATGCTAGAAACTAAAGAACCTCATGCATGCGTATGATCTTATTCCTATAAAACTAAGCCGAACGAAGGCTATTTTCTCGCATGTCAAAACGTTTTAGCATTTTTTTGGCAATTAATTAAATATGCATGTGTGCAATTGCCGACCACGCATTTTGCATCTTTGCATAATCTTGTGGATGAGAGAATTCTCGTTAGAGCCTCAAGATAAAATGTATACATTGTGCAATAAATCAAGAAAATAATTTCTGGTGAATAATCTCTGGTTAATTGCTTTTCTGAAACTTTCTCTGGTTAATTACACTCATTTTTTCAAACGTTACTGTATCTATCAAAATTCCAGTATCTTCTATACTCTCATCTGCTCTTATTGGCCTTAGATTAACGGTTCTTTGAGCCTGAGTACATGTCGTTTAAAGCCCCTTTCCCATTCCAAACATACCGTCACGAAATATAACTGATCAAGCGAGGATGTGGGTTGTGAGAGTTGGCAGTCTCTCATTGTTACAGGGGACATTTCTAGCTCTAGATTACCAAAATAAAGCAGGGTTTTCAGTTTAGGTCGGCGAATTTCGCCAGACTTTTTCATTCAGCGCCACCCAAATTCGCCAGAGCTTTTACATAAATATATAATCCATATGCACGAATTGATTGTGAAACTTAACTCAGGTCCAGTCTACATAGTCTAGGCTTTTCCCTTTTACCATAGCTTCATTGCCATTAGCCAGAGCCTCACACAAAACTGAAAATCCTGTAAATGTTTGGTGAGTGTTCCAACTATGTTTTAACTTGAATAGAATACATGATAGTGTTGGGGAAGCATTTAGAACAGCTCTAACCAAGGTCGCGTCAACTGCCGCACTCGCATCCTCGATTGATCTGGGGTTTAGCATTAAACTGAGCATTATGTTTTGTTTCTTAATAGGAAAACTAATCAAGAAACACGGTCTGTTGCAGAGAAACATCCTACAGAGACAACAGTATGATGTCTAAAGTGAGTAAAGAGGCGAACAAACCCATACAAGCATTGTTAAATGCCGTCGCGAGCAGTAAACTGCGTCTGGTCCGACTACTTATTGAAGGAGGTGTGCACGTGGACAGTCGCAATGATCGTGGACAAACCCCGTTGATGATCACGTGCTCTTCACTAAATAACACGTTCCATATCCGCGGGGAGACTAGGGAGAGAGTGGTGAAATACTTGATTTCCGCTGGCGCTGATGTTAATGCGTACGACGTCACAGGGCGAACACCGCTGATTTATGCAGTCATAACGCGGGCGTCGGTCATCTTCGATCTTATCGACGCGGGCGCTGACCCATGGTGGGAAGACTGCAGTCGCAAGTGCGCTTTCGATTACGCCCTTCAGAACGGAGATATTCTTCAAGTTAAGATTATTGTTGACGCATGTAAGAGGAAAAAGATGCGTGGGATCGCGCGCGACGTGGGAGACACGGGTGGGGTCATGCGTGACGTGACAGACACGCGTGAGAGCCAGGAACATATCCAGGATGCTTTACGCGGGAAACAAGAGAAGAAATCAAGTGTGAGGGGCAGCAAGAATAAACGCACGTCAGGTAAGAAACCAAAAGTGTATCCAAAGAATCGTAAACGAATTATCAACTCAAGGAACATTAGTACCAGTTTGACAACATTTAATAAGAGTAGTACTAATATATCCTCTGAAAACCCCAAGTGTGGCAGTCTACCCCAAGTTACACCCTCTAAGTCTACAAGTGATAAAAATGGAAACGACAGCAAAAGTCCACCGTTAACCTCACACCACACCTGTCATCCACAAGAATCCCCAAGCAACAATTCAAGCAAATCACCAAATATCCCTGAGATCCATGAAAATTCCCAACTTTGTGACCTCTGCAAGAGCGTTTTCAGTGAGCAGTCACGGAATGAGGCGAAGATTTCAAACCCAACCTCAGCAGAAAACCTCACAGAATATGATTTCTCTGGGTTCCTGTATCGCAGGCGCAGTACGGGTAGTCTGTTTGGTCTCACGGAGAAACGCTACGAGAACATTCGTAAAAAACGCGAGTTAGGAATCACGATGGAGGATCTCTTCTCAAGCACCGAGATTAATCAACCGGGTAAACAACCCCTCTACGTTAAAAGCTCCCGGACAAATACCCTGGTTGATATATCCACCAATGAGTTATTGGTCCCAAATCGTGGACGGTCAGCAAGTGTTAGCCTACCACCACTGAATGACACAAGACTTCACGTGGGAGAAGTGTTTTGTTCACGTGACGGCTCCCCTTTTATAACCTCAGCCAAGTCAGTTCCTCAGCTTCACACCATGGCGTGGTCACGTGCTGCGAGCTATGTAATCACACCACAATCCAGTGTTTATCTCAGCAGTGATGACGAATGCGATGACCTCATCATTATACCGGCATCTAGAAGTATGACGTCATCACCTATACTGGATATGACGCCATCTCCCATACGGAGTACGACGTCATCTCCAATACAAAGTATGACGTCATCACCTGATTACGATTGCAGATCACAGCGTGATATGACGTCACCACACAGAGAGCACAGGTCACCATCAGCTTCGTGTGACAGCGAATCAGAGTTGTGTCTAATTCCTACCATTGTGCTCACAGATTGTGTCAACACAGAGCAGATGTAAAGCAAGAATAAAGACTGGTTTACACTATCAAAGTTTCTGTGATCACAGTAGAAATTTTGCAAAGTTTTGAAGGATTTGTAAGAAATGTTTTAGGAAACTAACTCGCTGTTAAACATTAAGTCAGTTTCCTCAAACATTTCTTACAAATCCTTCAAAATTCCTATTGTGATCACAGAAACTTTGACAGTGTAAAGCATTAATTGAGGGTTTAATACAGAAATAACGAGGATACTGTAGAATTAATTAATTTCTGTAAAATTTAGTGTAATTAAAAGTCATGATTCATTTCAAAATGCTGAATATAAACTTCTATTTGATATGACCTTTTATGAAGAACAATTTAGGGTTAATTTGAAAAATACCGATATATGCGCAGGGAAGTAGTATATATTTGCTTTCGGATCAATTTTGCCTTATCGGCGAGCGATCGGGACATTTCGGATTTTTTCGTAATTCAGGAAATTTAAGGCAGGATATTTGGTATGGTAAAGTGGAAACACACTCTGCTCCACTGATCTATATTTACGACTGTAGTGAATTAATACCGCGAAATTTGATTAAAGATGGCGGGTAGAAAAATGAGTTGTATTGCGGCAATGTCTAGTAAAAATAGAGGCATTGGAAAAGATGGAAAACTACCTTGGCGTTTAAGGTTTGTTACGAAGTTTCATTGTTTGATATTTTAAGTTTTCTTCGACAATAATTATTGAAATTTATAATAGCAATTAAGTACAAACCGAACATTCTAAAGAGAGCTGACCTTTTACGAGAAAATTGCATCACGTTTTATTAATAATGTTTCCACAGGTCGGAGATGAAGTATTTCACAAGAATCACAACAGATGTAAAGCAAGAAGGTATAAAATGATTCTTTTGTTTTTGAAATAACTAATCAAGTATATAAATAGATTGTGTACCATCTTTGACCATCTTTCATTCGTAGGTCAACAAAATGCTGTTATAATGGGGAGAAAAACTTGGGAAAGTATTCCAGCCAAATATCTCCCACTCTCTGGAAGATTGAATGTTATTCTGAGTCGAACAATGAGGTATTAATGATACTAGTATCATGCCTCCCCCTGCATTGATAATTGTCAAATATTTTCGTGTTCATTGACTGAAAATAATCAATTTCTATGAATAATGATGATAATTTTGAATTTGCATGCCACTGATTGTTGTTTGACCACTGCATAGCTGTAATGTGAGTCATGGTATGGACATTTCCATACCATGACTCACATTACAGTTTAAATTGGTGCTGAACAGCTTATTTTGTTTAAATTGGTGCTGAACAGCTTATTTTGTTTGGCACAACCAAAGCCTAGAATATAGAGGTTCAGATTTGATTTGGACCACCATTAAGGGACCATCAACCAATCAGATGTGTTTGATATATTGGATTAACCAATCAGATGTGTTTGATATATTGGATTAACCAATCAGATGCGTACTAAGTCGGTGAGAGGTAGCAGTAGTACTTAGAAGTCAAATCTGAACCTCTACTGTTGTCTGCCGTAGAGAAATTGTACATTCTAGGTGTAAGTACACACTTTATATGTTTCGTACAAATCAGAAATGCTCCTCTTTGCTATCTTGCAGTGATGCTCCAGAGAATGTGCTACTCTGTACAGATTTACAGAAAGCTTTGGAAGTCTTATCCAATCCTCCATATGATCAAAGTATTGAGCATGTATACATCACTGGTGGCTACGGTGTATACAAGGTAACTATATACCTGTACTCTTTTAAAAAAGTAGTGCCACCAGAATAATTTTTGGGGGGGATTTAATAATTTGTGAAATAATTCTTGGGGGTTGATTCATGGGCATCCTTGCCCATAATAAAACTTGTGAACTGAATGCAAATTTACTATATCAATTTCAGGAAGCAATGAGCATGCCAAACCTACACAGGATATATCTGACTGAAGTTCACATGGATGTTGAATGTGATGCATTTTATCCTGAATTTGATAAGGAAGATTTTAACATTGTCAGGTTGGTAAAAGTGAACATGCACACCCTTCTGCCAGAAAAAAATTCAACTTAGATAATTAGTATACAAAAAACAAACTTTTCGGAAAGATGTATCAGTGGATACTAGGGTGGGGTGAAATATCAACTTGCTGCCCAGGGACATTTTGAAAATTTCTGATGCTTTGGTGCTCAGTGGGTAATATCAAACCTATTTATCAAATATTTTTCCAATTCTAGTGATCCAAATGTTCCATCAGAAATGCAAGAAGAAAAGGGAGTCAAGTTTCAATATTTTGTTTATGAAAAGAAGAACCAGGTTTGTGATCAATGACATTGCTGGCAGGAATACTGTGAGCAATACAGGAATAGTGCTGCTGCAATTCTTGCATTTTAAGACCTGTTTAGTTAACAATATTTTATAGTTACAACTGACAATAACATTCACAAAATGAAGCTAAAAAGCAAAAATGAAGTGAATGATCTAGAAAGTAGGAGGTGGCCCATCCCACCCACATCTATAGATATGATGTAGTCAAGGAACATGTAGTCTATTTAACACAATAATGATAATCCATATGTTAACAAAACACATTTTTACATTTCAAATGTTTATATTATATCGTGTATGCCATTATATGAATATGTCAAAAGCTTGGACAATTTGTGTATGCATGCCTGGTTTTAAACTGATGACCAGGAACACATATTATCTCTTCATTGACTCCAGTCCGCCATTGGGTTCATCTTTGAGACTTGGACTAATGTAAAATAATCTAAGGGATGTGATAGAAGAAACTGTACTGTATCTTTACTACTCATTCTGGTTCTACAAACTGTATCTTCAACATGGTTGTATGTACTGTACTGTGGATCTTTAATCTCCATTCTCATTCCATTCAACATTGCTATCATTGTCAGCACCATCTTTCTCTTTGACTTCCAAATCTTCACCATATTGTATAGCATTATCAATCTGCAGTAAAACATTCTCAATTGATTCTTCATCTGTATTGTCCAATGGTAGAAACTGCACCATACTAAAGTCCTCGATAATCTGTGCCAAGGCATTATTCAGTTTTTGATATTTTTTATTCTGCCATGTGTCACTTTCGTCCATCAGGGCTTTTGGATTTGGGTCAAGAAATCTAGGAGGAATTTGAGCACATTTTGTGAGTTTTAGTACATGCATTTTCCATCTAAGATTCTTGCAATTCAGTTGGATTCTACAAATGCAAGGTTTCTCAGAGTATTCCAGTTTCCTTTTGTAATCACACTTATGACAATTAATAACAGATAGCTCTTACTGGACCTCCAAGGAGAACAGTTTAGAACTGATGAGCTATCCAATACAAATAAAATTAATATCATGGCAAATTATTAATTATCACATGTCTGCAACACATACCTTTCAACTTCTGTTGCTTGATCCTTACTCAAAAGGTCCATTTTCGACATGACATTGATATGTGGAATCTCAAGTTGAACCATTGCAGAAAGTGCCGCAAGTACACCAGAGAAAAACATGGCTGTATTCACCATGAATTTTGAATCAACAAGAAACACACCACACACCCTTATGTCCCACTGTTGCAGCGTATCAACAAACTGTCGCATGACAGGAATATGAGAGTACAATTCAATTTGTCCTGCAATAAATTATTTTTATTTTACTTAGTCTAATGGCAGAAAGGTTGGTGTTGAGCAAAGCATTAAGGTTTAATGAACCACCTTTTATTATGTCACTCTGTAATTTGCCAGACAATTAACTCTTGTCAAAAATGCCAATATGGCTGACTTCCTCTTAGTAGTTACATTGGATCTGTCTCGGCAATGTGGGCAAGGAAGAGATTGTTTGATAATTTGTATGCATGTATAAAATGGAACAAACAGTTATGCTGTTCTGCTACACAAACAAACAAACAAACAAACAAACAAACAAACAAACAAACAAACAAACAAACAAACAAACAAATAAAAAGACTTAATGGATGGACAATATTACTATGGCCAACATACCAGGACAATCAAATATGAAATAATCCTCATCACTATACCCTAACTGTTCCTCTAACCATTCCATATTTTTAATCAAATACTCCATACAAAAAATCAATCCCCCATTGGGGCCAAGTTTTAAATCCTCTGCTTCCATAACATCTTCCAGTTGGACAAGTTCTCTGCTATCTATGAGCACCGGGTAGTCAAAATATTCTGCTGCTGGATCTAAATTTATAACATGAACTGTTCTTCCGATGTTTTCACAATGTCTCACAATTGTGCTGCAGTACGTTGACTTGCCACTGCCCGCCGGCCCTATTACCAACTGAGCGTATCTCATTGCTCTTCAGGACTTTAACTGCTGTGTTTGTGTGGTTTTAAACTCCTACTGAGGTTCGAAATTATACTTTTAGCCAAATATTCAAACATGTGCACGCCTTGCATCCACCATCTTGAATCATTTTTTTCCACTTCGGACTCGTTCGTAGCGTGATCGGAATCTTTCGGGAAACTGAGGTTGATGCTGAAAGTTGACCCCCGAGGGACGAAGACACGAGGATAATTTGAACCAAATCCAAAAAAACTTTTATTGTAATTTCAAGCCCCACGAAAACATTTGTAAAGCTTCTTTTCAAGAAATAAACAAAGTACAAGATAGTGTAGTCAAAATTTATTGCATCGCGAAAAATATGTAGCTATTTACAAAATATTGGCTGCTGTTGTGCTGTGTTGAAGTAATTTATCAGTTAACCATATACCAACAACGCACGAGATAGGTTTCTTGCTAAAGCCAGACGAATTGGCTCAAATAAACCATCTTTATCTTGCTCTGCAATCTGAAATACAATTGTGTACAGTAGTTGTAGAATCTTTCGAAGAAATCTACGTCGTGGAATAAGCGACTATCGCTCCATCAGTTCTAAAACTGTTCTCCCTAGAGGTCCAGAAAGGACCATCCCTTATTCGTACAGTATTAACTATGTTCAACTTATAGATGTTTATGCCGTTGAATATGTTCGACATAAGCATTCAACTTAGATCTGTTCATGCCGTTGAATATGTTCGGCATAAGCATTCAACTTATAGATGTTTATGCCGTTGAATATGTTCGGCATAAGCATTCAACTTAGATGTTATGATCGAACCCGAGGTGATATGAGCAATGCAAGCATTTAGATTGTTAACACTGCACGTTTAGGCCTTCTTTGGCCCTACCTTAGTGCTCCATGCTGTATCAATGCTGTTGTTATCCTTGTCTGACGTAGGTTTCTCTGAATTTCCGAGGTATTCTGCCGACTTGAATGAAAGTCTGAGCTCTTCCAAACAACGCATCAGCTCGTACGTTTGCTCGCTTGTAAAAATCACCTGAAATATACAATATTTATATTTTAGTCATACAGTAGTAAAACAACGAATTTATGTTATCTGATCTGACCTTCTCGTGTTCCAGCAAAGGTAAAGCATCTGTGAGCAAGGACAACCAAATTCTGGGAAAATGAAGAATCTTTGTTATTCAGTATTATACAAATTATCTTCAGAGATAATGGTCTTTTCTTACCTTTTTGGAGCGAGATTTGACGCAAGTAACGATATCAAGAGATGTGCAGCGTCCATAAAGTCTCCATTTTCATACATTAAGTGAAATTCTCGATATTTTCCTGAAAAAAATTGAAGAAAAAATTAACACTACTGCAAAACAGACTTCATTTCTCTAAAATACAGCTTGGCCAGTGAATAAATCCGTCTGGATGAAGTTTGGCAAAGAAAAGATTGGAGTATACTGTAGGACCCTGTAGCCTGTCAACATGATTTGTTTTCAGAATCAGTATAGATGGATGATGCAGTATTAATCATGGTACATTACCAAGGAATGTAAGTCGATCGCAAAGTAACATTGATGATCCCAGGTTGTCAATCAGATCTAAGCTTGAAAATTCTCCCTTATTGAAATATTCATCGGTGAACCTAGATATTGAAAATGAAGAAAGGTTTATTGTTCTCAATTGCAAAGATGTGCTTCAAAACAGCGAATGATCCAAATATCTTAAGATGTTGGGACTGCAAACGAAATTTACCTTTCGGAAATAAAAGAAGCAAAGGCGGGATCCTGAAAAGAAGATAGTGATAAAAATGCTCAGTAACATAAACTCGAACTGTGCCAGCGTAGGTTGTGGTAAAAACAGGGCTTGAAACGTCGAAATTTTACTTGTATTTTTCAGGTAGTTGAATTCCTCTCAATCTGGAGCTTTCTCGTTAAGAGAATAAGGTTAATTATTAGCTGGTCGCGTTACGTCATTGTGTTTGGTCGCGTTTCCTCATTGTGTTTGGTCGCGTTTCCTATGACATTTGGCCCAGGCGTGCCCAGCAAAGTGACGTCATAGATTTTGCATACTAATTACTTTCGACACCAAATTAGACTTACATACTAACTACCAACCTCGTTCCCAGGCTCTTTGCTCCAAGAGCAAAGAGCCTGGGAACGAGGTTGACTAACTACTTCTACCCTCAGTTGCTAGCTGAGCAAAGTGACGTCATAGATTTTGCATACTAATTACTTCCGACACCAAATTAGACTTGCATACTAACTACTTCTGCCCTCAGAGTGCTACTCTGAGTGCTACTGTAGCTGAGCAAAGTGACGTCATCATATAAACCATAGTTTAGTGGAATAATATAATTATTTTGTTTCGATTTTTACTGTTTTTACTTACCTTTGCTCTGATGCACCAAGACAATGCAGAACCCAGTCTGTTATTGTGATATGCTCTCATGCCCATCTGTTTACAGATACTTAACGCTGGGAAATATAAATCAAATCCTAATTCATGCAGCCATACCATTTTAGTTACAAAGATAAAGTACAACTTCTAAAATGAGTTACCCTGTGTGGGGAAATCCAACTTCTGACAGAGGTTTAAAACTTTAAAAGCTTTGAACTCATTCTCCAGAGGAATTTGATCTATGTATTCTTCCAAGTAATGTCTTGAAAACAAAACTATCTCAGTACTAATATACAGGCAGACATTATCTTGGAGACATATTGTGTAAGTAGAGACTATAGTTTATCGTTCGTCTACCATGATCTCAGGAATTTTGTGATGTGGTGGAATAAGCTCACCTTCCTCGTGTAGGACAGTTTAAAAAATAATCCGCTGCTACTTGCCACAAGCTACGTAAACAATAAAATTGTTAGCAAATGTTCATATGAGTTGGACCTACAAATATGGACACTAAAGAGTCAGTAAAGTGTCCATATTAGAGAGGTATGCGTATTAGAGGTGTGCGTATAGAGAGGTGTGCGTATTAGAGAGGTATGCGTATTAGAGAGGTGTGCGTATTAGAGAGGTGTCCATTTTAGAGAGGTGTGCGTATTAGAGAGGTATGCGTATTAGAGAGGTGTGCGTATTAGAGAGGTGTGCGTATTAGAGAGGTGTGCGTATTAGAGAGGTGTGCGTATTAGAGAGGTGTGCGTATTAGAGAGGTGTGCGTATTAGAGAGAGGTGTGCGTATTAGAGAGGTGTGCGTATTAGGGAGGTGTGCGTATTAGGGAGGTGTGCGTATTAGGGAGGTGTGTGTATTAGAGAGGTGTACGTATTAGGGAGGTGTGCGTATTAGGGAGGTGTGCGTATTAGGGAGGTATGCGTATTAGGGAGGTATGCGTAGTAGAGAGGTGTGCGTATTAGAGAGGTGTGCGTATTAGGGAGGTGCCCATATAGAGAAGGGTTTGTATTCGAGTTGTGTCTGTATTAGAGAGGAGTCTGTATTAGAAATTTAAGGTGTTCGTATTAGAGGGTCCATATTAGAAAGGTGTCTGTATCAGAGAAGTATCCATACCAGAGAGGCGACTGTAAAGTACTGTACCTTTGATGTGACATGAGACTCGAGGCGTACTCCAATAACAAAAATTCTCTCAAATCAACTTGATAGACGTCACTAAACATTGAGTAAACATGAAAATGGTATTTGTTCACTGTATATCAGTAGAATCAAGACAAACTCTTGAACTTACTGAGTTTGATGTGACTCTAACAGATCACTATGATGAAACAAATCTACCAAGTGTGCAACGAACCACCAGTTTCCAAAACATTCACTAAGAGACAAGAATAGAAAATGGAGAAAAGTGGAAACGAATTTTGGAAGGGTTAAAAGTTTCTTAACAATTCTGTACCTGCTCAATTTTATGACAGTGTGAACATCAAATTCTATTGCAGCTAGAAGAATCATATGCCACATCTGAAGAGCATTCTTTCCTCCGCACAAATCAATACAAAACTAGATAGAGACAGGATGTACGATTCAGCACTTGGTATTATTTTGTAACACAATCTTGCATGTTGTCATACCTTGGTGTGGTATTGCAGTTCGTAAGATTTAATGGTTGGATTGGAATATAACAATTTTGCCACCATTATTTCATACCAAGATAAATCTTGACAGATATCCCTAACAGAAAATACAACTTGATAAAAAACCTCCACCTTTCGTCAAGAACAAATACCGAAATATTTCTGGGAACTTTTTCTTACTTTACTTCAATGAATGCCTCCTTGCCACCACATAGAATCTGGAAAAAACCAATACTGCGAATGAAGAATGCAATTACAAGAAAATTGAAACTTCTAAAATGAGTCTAGACCATTAGGGCCTGCCACTGAAGACGTTTGCATGGTCCTTTTCAAGATGTCATTTTTATTTAGATCCACTTTACTCGCCCAACAAAGCTTGGGGGAAAATTCTGAGGCAATTGTAGGATGCTTATCTTGTTGGGTTTTTTTACAAGTTAGCCACCATGCTGTAAACTAGCTGGTAATCATTCATCAGTTAATGTATTTGTAGGATAATGTGGAAATGAGAGTAGAAAAAGTGAATATTGAATTTTTCTCAACCTGAGCAACAAGCAGTAGTTCAGGATATGATGACAGGTCGCCGTGAGAGCATCGGTTCTGACATTCTTGTTTCCAGTAATTCCATTTCATTGCAAACTCTGAGTGGCCAAGGAATGACTAAACCATTGAAAATTGTGTTTAGAATTGCTTCCTGGAATTTCTTCATAAAAATATAGCAGAATTCCAAGAATTTTTTAGATGTACCTTAAACGATGGCATTCTCTTTAGAAGGTCATCAACGATTGCAAATTGCTTGAAACAAATTTACAACAAATTGAGTTATTGTGGCGGTTAAGGTGGCACTGCCAAAACAGGCAAAGAAATTGCTGCATCTTGCATACACACACTCACATCTTGGCCGTCTGGATTGCGATCTGGGTGTTGAGCTAATAAATCTCGCACTTCTTTGGTACGTCCTTGGAATAATAAGTGATAGATCTAGAACACAGAATATTTGTTGCTGATGTTATATGCATCACAATGTCTTGTGTAATGCCACTGAATTGTACTGTAGTGTACTGCAGTATACCTATTTGTACTGTACTTTACTGTACTGTACTGTATTGTACTGTAGTGTAGTGTACTGTACTGTACTGCACTATACTATACCTAACTGTACTGCACGTCACCATAGTTTAATGCACTTCTGTAGTGTATTTTACTGAACTATAATATCACAGTTATTCTACTGTCAATCAAATGTTGTTAAACAAGGACCAACATACAGCTGGCCAGTAATTGTAATTTTCAACAGGTTCTGCTGAGTCAGCAACTTCTCTTGCTAATCTGTCAGCAGTATCACAATGCCATTTCACCCAGTCAAGCAAATGTTGAAGAACTATGCCTCCTGAAGGAAAAATATAGTTGTTTGTTGTCAAGAATGTTATAAAAACAATAGAAAAAAACAACATTCACCACAGCAAGAAGAATCATAACTGACCTGGCAGATTTTCAATTAATAAGATTTCACAAAGATGCCACACTAACTCAACAAAACTGAATAATTTTATCTGTAAATTGATGTATGATAATTAGAATTATGGATTTAATACCTACAGCAAGTCACAAAAACTTTGTTGAACCAGTCTGTTAACTACCTGATCATATTCATCAGTATGGTCGACAAAATCTGTGTCGTCTTTTTTGAAGGTGACTAAACATGCTCTCAGCACAGCTCGATATCGGCGACTGAATGTCACCAAACTAAAGTAGATCAAGTTCATCACTTTTGTTAACATTGCTTTGGAAGATAGGCACTTTGAAAATAATCACAAAATTTTGCATTTCCCAAAGTTTTTTACCTAGCTTTCTTTGATTGTGCAGGAGCTTTATCGAGTTGTTGTAGGTCTAAGAAAATTCCTAAATTATAAAATTGACAATTATTTGGTATCATATCGCAGCTTTGAGCTAAGGTATGTTCACAAATGAGTATTCCTGATACCATGTGTTTCATTTATCAATCGTCTTGTTGTATTATTTTGTAAGTCAGCGTCCATTCTCATCTGGTGAATTGTAGTCGGCGTGAACGAGGCTCCTGAGCTGCCATTTGCTGGATAAACAGAAAACAAACATTGGTCAGACTTCGGCAAAGAAAATATATATTTGTCTGATATAATTATTCTTTGAAAAATGCTGCAAACAGATGGATCATCTGTCAAGAGATCTGCATTGATCATCTACACATGTATCGTCTTGATGGATTATTTGTCTCTGTCCATAAATATGGGCCTTCATGGCATTAGATCAACCAACTACCAGGAACATTTGTCAATAGACCGGGTTTAGATTTGATATTCCACTCTGCTGGTAGTGCTAGGTCTCGTTGAGTGGTTAATTGGGTATATTGAATGCATCTGATTGGTTGTTAATTATGGTAGTCAAAGCTGAACCTCTCTGGTATCAGACATGACAGATTGACCATTACAGATTTAGTTCATTTCTTACCTTGTCCTGAATAAACCCAGAGAGAATTTTCACCTCCCCAAGTGGCTTGCAGATGTCCTCGTAAAGGTAAGGTTGTTGGCTAACAAAAAACATATAAAAATTGATCTTGACATCGGTCACAGTATAAAATCACACATAATTAACACATGAATGATAACGATGTGAAATAGTTTTTCTTTATGATAGGGACCTTAAATTATGCTTAATCTAGCAATAATTCACTATCTTACCACAAAACTACTGCCTGATTCTTCCATTTTCACTTCAGAACGACAAATTCTAGCAATCAAATTTTTGCGCCATATTGATATTGTTTCGAAAATTTGTGAAGTATAAATGTGAACATGCTGCACATTCGACCCTCTATATCCCATGCAATCCATGTACATCAATCTATCCTAATTTTCTAAGAAAAGTCACGTTTTTCTGGAAAATATTTATTTCATTTTATTTTATATGCTTTGGAAAATAATTGGAAAAGTGGTTGGGAGGGGGGCATTGGAAAAGACCATTGGAAAAGTGGTGGGGAAGAGGACAAAAAAATTCGTACAAAGGACAACAAAAAAAATTCGTGCAAAGACTGAAAGCAAGGAAAATACTTTTAAAAAATTCATGGATATGTAGTGATTATGAAAAAAGTATTTCTAGAAACAGCAATTTTTTCAATATTATTTTAATTAATTAAAATTATTTTTTATTTTCAAAATAAAAATTACGGAGTTCAAAGTCCAGAAAAATATGATAATTAATATTCACAACAAGGATTTTCAAGCATTTTGATTGGTTGATTACCCAGGACAAGACATCTGATTGGTTGATCGGCAAATATCAATATTTTCGGTGTAAAGCCGGTGGATTTCCGATAGGATGCGTTTCACAATATGAACAATTTGTTGTGTTTTTGATAAAAAATTATACTTTTAGCATAGAGTTTAGATTTGTTTGCAGACAATAACCAAGCATGGCTGAAGCTCGTCTTGCCGTATCGAAGATTAAAGTTGATTATCACGCTTCGGGAACGAGCACAGCTGAAGCAGAAGCCGAGTTTTTGAAGTATTTTTACAAGTCAACAAAGAAGTGTCTTCGACGTACTAGGTAAAAATATCAATGTGCACAGTACCGTTCTGCTGAAACATACCATTTATTCATCATATCTTGTGCTTTAATTAAACGCTGTATTTATTAGTAAATATTTTAATATTGCTTTTAACAAAGTAAAAACAGCAAAAAAACGTAGTAAGAAACGGTATTTAATATACTGGTACAAATTTAACAAATATGACCTGTGGTTTACACATGAATGAATATTTCAAGCTTCTGATATTTTGTGAAATAAATATTTAAACGTATACATAAATTCTTGTTGTTGAACTGTCCGTGAAGTAGAATAAAATTGCTTTTAGGTTTGTTTACAAAGACTGATGTAGTTTGTATAAACTATAAGTGTTGTTTTGATATATCTGGTCACGCGTCTGCGAGTTTAGACTCAAGAGTTTATATTTCCTGTCTATAGCTGTTTCAGTCATCGCTGTTCAGTTTGTAATGTGAAAACAGTATATAGGTTTTTGCTTGTGTATTGTATTGTTGGTTATGTAAACTCCAAAAATATATACACTAAAAGATGAAACATAATATTTTTAATCACATGAAAGACAACGTGTGTTTTGACCACCATGTTTTTTTGGTGCCGCCCACCTACCCTCCCCGGTACTCAGTTAAAGTGGCTCACTGGTGATTGGTGCCTGGAGGTGCCATCACAAATGACAGTAAACTGTTGTGGTTTGTGTCTGAACTCTGAACTATCAGAAAAAGATATCTCAAACGTGTCCAGTGTTGGTAGTATTCTACAATATTAACATGCTTCCATTGGTGGGGATGCAACTGCCTGGAAAATATAAGGAGAATTTCGATGTTTTGAGCGAAGGCCCTTGTGTAATGGTTTGTGTCTGAACTACCTGACAAAGATATCTCAATCATTGTGGGTCCAGTGTAGGTAGTATTCTACAATAAGCTGTTGTGGTTTGTGTCTGAACTACCTGACAAAGATATCTCAAGCTTGGTGGTCCAGTGTAGGTAGTATTCTACAATAAGCTGTTGTGGTTGAGGCCTTTGTCAAGACGCCAGTAGCTCAAAAACATTGAAGTATTTTTATTACCTCCGCCAGGAGGTTATGTAATCATCTGGGTTTGTGTGTATGTGTGTGTGTTTGTCTGTGAGCACGATAACTCAAGAAATACCAAACATATTCATACGAAATTTTTTTAATGCATTTCCCATCGGCTAAGGAAGAACTGATTAAAATTTGGTTGAATTTGGTTAAAAATTGAACGAGAAATGAACAAAATTTTGTCTTGCTTTTCTCGGTCAATTAAAAAAAAACTCACTGAATGCGTAATTAGGACGTGTATAATGTATGCACGCAGTACTAAGAAGACAATGAGATGATAAACCTCATTAAGCTTCAGCCTTCATTATCTATTGTCTTAGTTGCATTTCACACGACCGAAATTTAATGTGGACGGAGGTATGCAGTCTCTGAGTACCCTCTAGTTACTTATGTTATTATCCATAATATATAGAGCTCAAATTTCCAATGGACTCTGGCCAACTTCACCCAGTTACCTGGTTGTGACATGGATTATTCTAGCCAGCATGCTATACTGGGATAACCTATACGTCAAACCTATCACATCAAGACTCTGGGCATTTGGTGATCTCATTTATCTCGACCAATCTTACCACCTACTGCTTCGGATCTTCTGTATTTCCTTATTTGTGGCAATCGGATTTTTTATTGTTCTCTGGTATGCACGACAATATGCACTGCGGATGTTGCTTTCCTACAGAGGATGGATGTGTAAGTGTGTATGAAACATAGCTGTATGTAGGAGTGGATGCTAAACCCCCCTTTGTAATTGGATCATTCCAGAAAACATCCATCCCCCGATACAACATGGATGTGAATGTTGTCAATGGCTTGTGAAATGTCTTGATGAGAACATTTGTATTCACCCAGTCCTCATGTGAAAAGAGTAAAAAGTCAACACTCTGCCGAAAGTTGTACAGTAGATTTTCTCCCAGTACTCCGGTTTCCTCCCAGTACTCCGGTTTCCTCCCAGTACTCCGGTTTCCTCCCACAGGGAAAGTTGACAGGGTGGGTTAGGTAAAAGGGCCCACAGTAATGGGCGCTGTTGTGGTGACCCTGCCCTAGTTGGCAAAGCTAAATAAATTAAATCTAAAATTTATATAAATCAGCATGATTCTTGTATCAGATATACAAACTTTGTTCATGGTCATGATTTTGTTTGTGTTATCTTCATGCATTGTTAATGATTTTCACAAATAATAAAGTAAGGCAGACTGGAGTGGCTAACAATGCCCAAACCCTTTAAGAAAAAGCTGTCTTGTTTTTATAGATGAAAATCCTCGCAGTCAGAGCTACAAGACATTATTATGGGGTGCTCTTGTTCGTATCATTGGTGGTGCACACCCCCGTCTATACAGCTTTCAGAACAGCCTGCCTCGCATGCCTGTACCTGCATTACGGGATACATGTCAAGGATTCCTCAAGTCTGTCAAACATATCCTGCCTGAGAATGAGTACAAGGAGATGGAAGAACTGGCCAAGGTCAGCAAGTTTTATTTCTTAAAATTGCAGTTGCCATAGAGTATTTTAATAAAACACAAAACAATAGACACTTCGAAATTAAAATTGTAAACATTTTTATTCTTTACGTTTCGACTATAATTTAAGTCATCTTCAGAAGAAGACTGAAATTATAGTCGAAAAGAATAAAAATGTTTACAATTTTCGGAGTGTCTATTGTTTTGTGATTTATTATTTCTTAAACATTGATCAATTTTTATATGACAGTCGTTTGTTGGTGGGTCCGACCCTTGTAATTGTCCTTGACATAATTGCATTGTTCCAAAAAATGTCCACACTCCCCCCAATGAGGAAATTTCTGCTGTCCAGGGGGGGGGGGAGGGAAGTGCAGTAGGTTGACTGCCATATTGAAATGCTCCTATGTACCATTAGTTTTTTTTTTCAACATGTAGGATTTTGAACAGAATCTTGGTCCAAAACTGCAGTTTATTCTGCAGCTGAGATCGTGGTTTAGAGGGAACTATCACACAGACTGGTGGTAAGGCAATTTATCATATTATTTATAAAAACAAATGAATGCTGAACGAATTCCCTAGTTAAAATAATGTACTTATGTACGCATTTCGTTCCTATTTTTACTTATGTACTCATTTGTACCTATTTTACGTATTTTCACTCGTGTACGCGCGACGTACCTATTTTTACGTATTTTCACTCGCGTACGCGCGACGTGCCTATTCCTAGGGAGAAGTACGTCTATCTGATGAACAGGGAGCCAATAGCAATAAACAGTAACTACTACTGTTTCGATCATGCTTTCTGGAAACCAACTGGCATTCAAACTGCAAGGTAATGGAGATTCGCCTAATACACGTTTCCGGAAAGTACATCACCACGGTTATGGAGCCCTTTTTTCACGATTTACAAGTTGGACTGTAATGCCACATACACGAAAACGAAGCTCTGTAGCCACTTCGGAAATGTTGACACTGATAAGAGGGACCAAATTAAACTGTATTTCTTTCTATTCGATTTATTTGCCATCAAGTACAGGACTAAAATACTACAAGAATGGACCATTTGCATTATAGACTAAATTTTGATCTAGACAAAAATTTCATCACAGCTTGAAAGAGCATCACAAAATTAGTACTATTCCAAAGTTTCGTTGCGAAATGTTGTAAAATGCGGATAATATAGCCTTGCGAAGTTTGCCGTTTTTCAGTCATTTTGTATTACGCACGGGAAATTGACAGCCCAATCGGGTGTTGGGGCATCAATTTCCCGTTTGTAATCTAAAACGATTGAAAATTGCAAATTCGCAAGGCTATATTAAGGCCTGATTCCACGGGCGCTTTTTCTCGGCGAAATGCGAAATATTTCGCCTGTTTCTTTTGAATTGCGACCACTCTAATAAATTATTTCTACTTGATTGCCCACAATTCAAAAGAAACAGGCGAAATATTTCGCATTTCGCCGAGAAAAAGCGCCCGTGGAATCAGGCCTTAATCTGCATTTTACAACATTTCGCAACGAAACTTTGGAATATTACTAATTTTGTGATGCTCTTTCAAGCTGTGATGAAATTTTTGTCTGGATCAAAATTTAGTCTATAATGCAAATGGCCATTAACATTATTTTCTCGCTCTAATAACATCCAGTTGCTAAGTTGATCACCATATGTAGTCATAGTAGTGCTTAGTGAAACCTACCTATAGAAACTTTGAGAACCACAGCATGTTGTTTGTACTAATATGAGAACTTCGTGTCTAGAGCTGCTGTGATTTCATTTCTACTTCTTGAGTATCGTCATCATGTGGAAACTGAAGAACTAGAGCCGCTGATCATCAGAAATACAATACCTTTATGTATGGGGCAGTATGAGAGAACCTTCAAAACGACAAGGTCAGCCTTCTTTCTTAAATAGACCAGTGATTGGTATATTAGTCAGACAAGTTAATTACCATTCATTATATATAATTACCATTCATTATATATCAATGATAGAATTCCCGGTGAGGAGATTGATGAGATAGTCCACTATGATCACTCATTTAACGAGGTACGTTGAACGAATTAAGTCATTATTTTCCACAAGTTTTTGTGTCTTCACGTATGGTTTTATTATAATGAGACTGAGTGTCTCTGTAGGACATCATTGTAAAGCGCTGTAAGATACAGTAAACCAGAGAACTTTAAGATTCGACCCACACCACCAGTTACTATTCCAACCCTGTTGAGAAGCAATACTTAGTTCAAATTTTGAATTTTGCCAGCATCTGGCTGTGTTCTGTAACGGGAACTTCTACCAACTGAAAGTTTCGGACAGTTATGGTTCACCAATAACGTTGTTGGACCTTGAAAGTCAGCTGGAGTGGATCAAACATGACGCGCATCATTCAGATAGTGAGTAGTACATGTTCATGTAGCAAACCTTTTTTGTTATTTTTCTTTATTCCTGTAATTTTTTTAATTTTATAAACTTTGTCACAATATAAATTACACAATCTAAATACTTTAATGACTATAACACATCCCGAGCTATTCCTGCATGTATTAATTTCAGAGATTCACAAACTGTTGAAACCATATTAAAGCAGACATGAAAACCAGCAAGATAGCTCGAGATGCAAGATAGCTCGAAATGCACTAGATCTAACAATACAACAATTTACAACAATTGTTGTGACAGGGTATTCACAACAGCTTTTGGCCAATTACTGTGATTCCATTAGACAACAAACAAATTATCTTAAACTGTACAAAAGCATTTACATAGTCCCTACAGAGTGCACTTCTTGTTATAGTCAATAAAGATACCCCAGCAGGATGTATTCCAGCATTGACAAGTCTTCCACGAACCGAGTGGTATAATATTCGTAAAGAGCACTTCTCTGATGGTATCAACAAAGATTCCTTGGATGTCATTGATAGAGCTTTGTTTGTTGTAAGTTGTGCTGATCATGTACGAAATAAATTATATTTGAAATAAATATATTTTACGGACTTGGACAACCTCGGGACTTGCGTTCTCGTTCCAAATATCACGTCATGTTTTTTCTAGCTTGTATTGGATGAACATGAGATCACAGATCTGAGTAGTCGTGGTAAATACCTGCTTCACGGTGATGGTAAGACATTGTGGTTTGACAAAAGTATGTGTGTTGTTGCTTTCGCTGATGGTAAGCTGGGTACGAATGCTGAACACTCGTGGGGAGACGCTCCAGTTATTGGACATATGGTCGAGTATACAGTGACTGAAGAGTAAGTACTGAATATAGAGAAACCTAGGAATTCATTGGTTTTAGTAAGCGTCACAATTGACAATAATCTGCTACACAACAGTGCTTAGTTAAACTCACCTACATCGCTCCTTTTACAGTAATCCAGAATACAATGCTTCATTGTTTTTTAGGTTTATATACCGAACTTACAACGACAAGGGAAGATGCAAACCTTTTGGTAAATTTCATAAATCCAAAGGAGACGTGGCCAATCCGAAGAAACTGTATTTTGACATCACTCAGAAACTTGAGTCGCATATCGAAGATGCTGTGTCCCGTGCTATCAAGGTCGGTATTCACAATCTCAGGTGCAGTGAATCCCCAAATGCAGTGGAAACATTGTAACATTGAGCAGCTGCGGATAGGGATACAACTACCTGAAAAATACAAGGAGAACTTCGACGTTGCGAGCGAAGGCCCCGACGAAGTGCCTTCGCTCGAAACGTCGAAGTTCTCCTTGTATTTTTCAGGTAGTTGTATCCCTATCGATCTGAAGCTTTCTTGGCACAGACCGTTCAAATTTACGTTTGTTTCTTACTTTTTCAGCAAAATGACGATCTACAACTCCGTGTTTTAGTTCACGATAAGGTTGGCAAAGGATTTATTAAGAAGTGTAAGATAAGTCCTGATGGTTTCATTCAAGCGGCATTACAGCTAGCTTACTACCGAGACAGCGGAGGACATCTGCCTCTCACATACGAGGCGTCTATGACAAGATTGTACTTACATGGAAGGACTGAAACTGTCCGATCATTGACTGACGAATCCAGAGCATTTGTTTTGTAAGTTGGTCCATTTGTTTTTCGCCAGCCCTCTTTTAAATAGTTCCCATTTCTAAACTGTTCTCCATAGAGGTCCAGGGCAAAGTGAGATTTGTAAGGGCCATCCGAGGTCACTTTCACTGGAGCAGGAAACTGGAGAATCTGGAAAATGTTTTTAAAAATTCTAAATTCCGAGAAATTTTTAAAAATTCTGAGAATTTAAAAAAAAATTAAAAAATTCTGGAAAATGTTTAAAATTTCTGAGAACACGACGAAAACCTGCGGTCTTTGGTCTTTGTCGCATGCAAACTACTCACAACTTGAGTTGTATTGTGTAAATGAAGCACACAACTTGCTTACGTTGTCGTAGATGAGTTGTGTGTTTGATTTACACAGTACGACTCAAGTTGTAAGCAGGTTGCATGCGACAGTTTTAGCAAAAGTTGTGTACTGTAAATCGGCCTGTTGAGTGAAACTGGTGTCCTGTTCTCTGGAGTCCTGTTCTCTGGAGTCCTGTTCTCTGGAGTCCTGTTCTCTCATGTGACTGACGTGAAATTCTAGTCAGAAACTACATTCTAGTCAGAAACTACAAATCGAACCTCGTTGACAGAGATCCACATGCGCTAACCATTGTGCGATCTCGTTCTTGTAGAGCAATGGAGAATCCTGAGCTTTCGGCGGAGGAGAAAATTAAATGTCTTCGCGCTAGTGTAAAACGACATCAGGTATTAATCACAAAGAATATTTGACTCTTGCAGTATTCCAATCTAGTTCTAACCACGTGTTTCTGTCCAGGTGCTTTACAAGGATTGTATGAATGGCAAGGGAATAGACAGACATTTGTTTGCACTCTTCGTCGTTTCAAAAGGACAAGGACACGTAAGCCTCTCATTTCTTCATTCCTTTCTTCGTTCTTCCTTTCCTCATCTTGTGTCTCTTTAGGATTGCGACTTCTTGAAGCGAGCACTCACGTTGCCTTGGACACTGTCAACAAGTCAACAACCACAACAGCAAATGTTTAAAATTCCTGGCTGTTTCATTTCCGATCCAGCGTTTCACGATCTGGTAAGAAATGAGCTAAATATACCTTGATGCGTCTTCACGGCGTCCCTGGTTTAAACCGGGCTATTCTTATTACTTTGCACATCGTGTGTTAACAATGCATTACTTTTAGGCTGTAGCTCTACACACGTAAAAACGCTCAAGTTGTTAAAGATCTGCGAATAAGTTCTAACAAGGTTGTTGTGAAGCCGGTATCAGGATGTGTTCGCACTGCTTGTTCCCAGTTGTTGTGACAAGTTGTTATCACCTTGTTACGAGGTTGATGATGGTAACTATAGGTTGATGATAGGCTCGCTACAAGTTGTTCCAACAAGACTGATACAGGCTGGTCGTAACAAGTTTTTACCAGTTTGTTGTCATCAACTTGTTACGGCGTGCAGACGATATCAGACTTGTTGCGAGTCCGTTGGCGTCATCGACCTTGTCACAAGATGATAATAACGTGTTCCAGACTTGTCAACAACTGGGAACATAGCCTGCGAACAGGCTCTCAAGCTGAGAGCCTGTTCGCAGGCTACTGGGAACACGCAGTGCGAACACATCATGTTTACAAGTTGTGAGATAATCACGCGTGTACTTTGATATAGATCTGTCCAGGAGGTGGGTTTGGTCCAGTGTCAGATGATGGATATGGTGTATCGTATATGGTCCCAGATGAGAAGTATTTCTTCTTCCATATCTCATCCAAGAGATCCTCTGTGCAAACAGACTCCGAGAGGTTCATCAACCATGTTCTCAACAGTTTGGATGAGATGAAAGCAATGTTCGTTGAAGTCGAGGAGAAGCAGAAACAGGAAAACAAAAAGGAAGACTAAGAAGGAAGCACCATGAGTTGTATCATGTTTTTAGTGTTTCCATAAAGAGATGGTCGTATCGAGACTTTCTTCCGCGCTGATAATGTTTAGACTTCTTAGCCTTTCTCATGCCATGCGACCACGCATTGTGCGCCATTTTGGGTGCAAACCTAGCAACAACACAGTGGCAAAAAGGCGAAGTAAATGGTACTTTAAAACAATAGTACTTAAACAATAGTAATATGTTTTTGCTTGACATTCCTTGCTACGGGGCGTGGAGGATGTGAGACTCAAGTTGTTGCCGTCTATTTTCCGCGTGTGGTTTGCCGCCCAAAAATGGCGGACATAGCCTGGTTGCATGGTGTGAGAAATGCTACTTGACTCATTAATAATACATGAGAAAATTTGCCAACGTCGAAGTAATGATTTATGAGTTTAAGATGTCATTTCAATGTCATCCTACGAAATTATTGGTTATATTCTGTTACATAAAGTACATTTTATTATTATTGTCGATAGTTGATATCGTATTTAAATACCTTGTTCTAGGTAAGTATTTACATATAACGTTGTGTATGTTTTATCAACCTCTTATTTCGCGTATAAAAAGTGCCAGTTTTATTATGTGGTATTAATTATTTAGATTATACAATTTTAACTAATATTGTTGTATATATTCACCTCGTACTGACGGGCTTGGTCGCTCATGCACTCGAACCCTAAGTTTACGAAGCACTTTACTACTATAACATAAAGTTTATTCTTTGTTCAGGTCGGTATCCGCTGACTCATTTTTGCCTTGCAATGCAGGCTCAGGACGCAAATTAGGCAAACATTTCTCCGCAAAATGTCATTTATAGAATGTGATTTAGTTATTGAGAATGGTGTGGTAATTGATCCAGTAAACAACATTGACCAAGTTCCTCTGAATATAGCTGTTAAAGATGGGAAAATTCTGGATGTGTTTGAACCAAGTGTAAATACTTACCTTGCACCTGAGTGGTACAATGCCTCTGGGTGTTATGTCGCGCCTGGGTTCATTGATGTCCATGTGCACTGTTACGAACACGTGACTTCTCTTGGTGTTAATCCTGATGACACTTGTTTGGCACATGGAGTGACTACTGTCGTTGATGCAGGCTCTGCAGGTCGGGTGGGGGGTATAGTGATGGACTTTTGAATGGAGTGTTTTGAAATTCCGAGATTTTGAAAATTTAATAGTAAATATATAGAAAGCATCAAAATTCTGTGCCTGATATCTTGGTTGCGTCGCCGTGGTACACACTTTCCACACTGGGTGGGTGGGTGGGAGGGGTATAGTGATTGAACAACCAGCGGCTGGTTGTCTGAGTTACTCTCTTCACTTCTAATGTATTTCCTTACAGGGTGTGGCACATTCAAAGGTCTACGGAAATTCGTCATGGAGAGGAGTCACACCAGGGTTCTGGCATTCCTACATATCTCCTCACATGGACTGGCTGCTGCAGGATGCTCTGCTGAGGGTGATACACGTCATTTATTTATAATCGTATTAAAATTAATCTCCCCACCTAATGACTGAGTTTCACTAAGAACTGTTAATTAACTGCCAATTAGAGAATGTAATTGAATTTACTTGTTCCTATGTATTTATGTCTACATTTCTGTGAAGTTCGCCACCATCATCTAGCTGCTTCTTTCTAGTTCTTACTGAAACCAGCTTTATTCATCACATACTTGTTGTATAATATGTAAACCTTGGCATTACGTTTCAGCCAGTTGTGGAGAGCTGGACTCTCTGAGCCATGTACAACTGGATGATTGTGTGAAATGCATAGAAGAAAACAAGGATGTGATTGTTGGAATCAAAATAAGATTGAGTGAAAGTATTTCCAATGCTGGTGCAAATGAAGAAGAAGCATATAGGTATTGCATACAGAACACTGGACCAGACAATTTCCTAGTGGGTTCCCAGTATTTGGATAAGAAATTGAACATCCCCCTTGCCTTGGCAACCTTTTGATAAATGTTGCCCCTGACAGTAGAAAGTCTTTAATTATCAGTCTTGAAATATTCGTTTGTTTTACATATAGGAGAGCTTTGACAGCATCACAGAGAACAAACCTACCATTGATGGTTCACCATTCAATTTCCACTATTCCTTTGGCTAAAGGTACTCCACTTTGACATTTTACTCTGTCTAACACTGAAGTTTACTTGTCAGGCTTTTTTTCTTATAGACTCGGATGCAAAACTTTCATGTCCTGGTGACTTACGACCAGGTGATATATACACTCACACATTTCATGGGCACAAGAGCACTATAGTGGATTTGGGTCAAAATAAACTTCATGCAGTCATTCACAAGTCTCGTCAAAATGGTGTTTTGTTTGATGTTGGTCATGGACAAGGCTCATTCAGCTGGAAGGTTAGTTTTATTGAAATTTAATCCTGAATTAATTAGGAATTACTTACTGGAAATTAATGCCTTAAATTAATTAGGAATTAATTACAGGCAATTAATGTCTTAATTAACAAATTAATTAGAAATTAATTACTGGCAATTAATGCCTTAATTAACCAATTCCTATTTTCAAGGTGTCTGAGATTGCATCTCAGGAAGGGTTTTACCCAGATCTCATTAGCACAGATCTACACTCGTTAAGTGTTGATGGACCAGCGTATGATCTCGTCACAGTCATGTCAAAATTTCTTCATCTTGGGATGAGTTTGTATGACATCGTTAAGGCAGTGACATCACAAGCAGCCACTGCTATTGGCTGGAGTGATCAGATTGGTTCGTTAAGCAAAGGGAAGATTGCAGATATCACTATTCTAAGGTTGGACAAGGGTGAGTTTATGCTCGAAGACTGTGAAGATCACTTCAGAACTTGTAAGCAATTGCTCCAGCCGGTTGCTGTGTGGAAAAATGGAGTGGCATTTCCAATAAAACTTGACACTATCAAACAGGCTGTGAAGAAGTAATGATTGTGGTCCAGCAATATTTGCATCTAAGCATACATAAAGTTGGGAACATTTGGGTGCTTTTTTTCTCAGAATAGTCAATGCCTTCATCTGCATCAAATCATTGATAGTTGAAAACAAAATTGGTAAAAAATAAACACAATAACAAAATACTTCATACATTTAAAGTTACTTCTATTATGTTATGGTTTCCATGTACATTTAGTATGTACATTAATACTTATTTAGTAGTTTAGTAAACAACAACAACAACAACAACAAGTGATTCAATATAGACGTCAGTTGCTGACACGAACACAGCACTCGGTTCCAGGGTAATCAGGCAAGTCTAGTTTATATTTCTCATGCAGAATTCTTGGTACAAATCTTCCTCCTATATAGTGATGTTGTCCTTTAAACAACTTTGCACAAAGTTTTGGAGCTGTGAGTGAGATGAGAAAATCTGGTTGAAGACCATCAGGAGCACCTTTCTCTACATCCCAACCTGAAAGAAGAGGGGAGAGTCTAGAAAGAAAGGAAGGAAGGTAGGGGGTTGTGTTCTGGTTAGGACTGGGACAGTTAGGGTAACAGTTGGGGTAAGAGTTAGGGTTAGAATTTGGGTTGAGATAGAGATTTATAGGGTTGGGATTAGTAATAGGGTAAGGGTTAAGATTAGTGTCTGGTTTGGGATTAGAACTTGGTATTAAGGCTGATTTACACTACACAACTTTTGCCTAAAACTGTCACATGCAACCTGCTTACAACTTGAGTTGTACTGTGGAAATCATGCACACAACTCACCTATGACAACTGAAGTTGTAAGCAGGTTGCATGCGACAGTCTTAAGCCAAAGTTGTGTCATGTAAATTGGCCTTAAAGGCTAGAGTTGGGGATAGCTTCAGCATGAAATATAGTTTGATACCTGAGGGTACATCAACTGAACATAAAGGAGTCTTGACATCTTTCAATGTGTTGATGATGGTGCCAAAAGGTTCTCGGATGTTTCCTTTGAAGCTAAAGCCGAATATTGCATCAACAATGAAGTTGTAGTTTGCATCAATGTCTGATGCAGTGGGAAGCTCTGTGATAAGTGGTATGTCCATAAGTGTACACTGAGTCACAAGATTTTTATACAATTGTTTATCTGTTCTTTTAGGGTAGAATACTGATGGACTGTAGCCCTGAAATTAATATGCAATACATGTTAGTTTAATTAACATGGCAAAACAAATGTCAAACACAAAGAAAAAAAATTATAGTTACTGTTGTAATTAACAAATCATGTATTTAAATCAACATTCCAGTATTGATACAACCTATTCTAATTATGCAACAATTGGGCAATTAAATAGTTAATGATCCAATTAACCGTTCAAATTGCTAATGAACCAATTAACTAATTATGCATGTAATTAATCATGCTATACTTCACTTACAAACATTTTCAAATGTCTAGCTGCAACCAAGCCGTCTCCGCCATTGTTTCCAGGACCACAACATACTAAAACATGACTGGATTTCTCTGCAGGCATTGGGTAAGCTTTAGTCAAGGCGAGTGCGACGCTAAGACCAGCTAACTCCATAAGCTGATCCACACTAAATGCAAACTCGTTAAACAACTCTTGGTCAATTTTTTGAGCCTCGTCTTGTGTGAGGTACTTCATTGCTCTTGTTTTAATAAACTGAAAACCAGAACCGCGACTTAAAGTAAAATTTTTTGGGAAAAACAATCGCGCAAACATGAGGACTTGAAAAATGCCTGATTTAAATAACCATACGGTATATGTCCTTCTATGTAAAAAACCCGGTAGTTTGTATTTGTGGGTTTTCCCCCTTTAATCCTTAACGCGTGCTAAGAATGTTAATAACTTTCAACTTTTTTCCCCCGAATTGTATTAAAACACTGTTCTCAAGTTCTGAGTATTATATTTTCAGCATGTCTTACTTTACGTACAGAAGATTTTTGCTTCGAAAATTAAGCTTCCAAATTATATCGTGCTCCCGGAGTTTAAGCCCCGTTGCATATATCTCGTGGTAAGGAAGTGTAGCAGGATGTTTTGATCGAACTGACTGTAGTTTGTCGTTTGTAACGGAATGAAAATTTTGACATTAAAAATTGTTTAGTTATTACAAAATCATGTCTGAAAATCATTGGGTAAATTTTGTTTAGTTGCTTAACTATATTTGACAATGAATCAAGTTGCTCATTTGCTGTTTGGTTATTGTTCGTTATTTATTATTTGATTTTCTCTCTTTTTTGATAGAAAACTCCCAAAGATATAGAAGGTGAACTTCAATGGAAACATGGTTTGAGCTGGCGAGATGTTTATTTTCAGGTACAGTTGTAATAATTGGTTGTAGCACCTATCTCTAAATTAACCAACCTTTGGACTAGAGTGTCATAGTCCCTTCGAGTTGTTTCCTATAAATATTGACTTATTTAATAAAGGGGAAGTCAAGTCCGTAATGTAAACAAACGGTTTGTTTACATTTTGAACTGCTGTATTTTTTAAAATATGATGTACTGTCTGAATATCTAACACCATTTTGGTTCGCTATGCTTCTAAATGAATATGAAATAGAGTTTATGTTCAGAAAAATTCGAAACATTCGAAATTTGGGCAATGTTCACATTACAGGTCCTCACATTGTTATGAGCAGAACCGATGTGCAGAACGGACTTGACTTCCCCTTTAAGTATGTCAAAATTTGAACAGTTATTAACATTTTCTATGGCGCAAATTTACATGTGTTACATCAAGTATTACGCTTATCCAATTTCTTACTTAGCCTGTAGACTATTTTATCTTTACAACAATTGTGGTATTACTTTCTTAACTGTGTTTATCCTAACCCACCTTGTCAACTTTCCCTGTGGGAGGAAAAAACCCATGACTTTTGGCAGCCACGTTTGTTGACTGACTCTTTTCATATGAGAGAATGGAACTCATGAACTCGGAGGTGAAATTCGGCAATGGCTCTGACAACTGCGCCACCAAAGTTGCAAATTACTAGCGAGTCACCGCCTTCAAGGCTTGAATGTACATGAAATTGTCATTTCAAGGTTTCAACAAACACCATTTATCTATATCCAAGGAAAAGGAAACGTGACAATCAAATACTTCATTCAATTTCTCTGACTCAGGTATGAAATTTAGTATTAAAGATCTAATTAGTTGGATACTGCAAGGTCAATATCCCAAGTTTATAAAAAATTCCTAGAACTATCAATAAAAAATTGTTGCCCCCCCCTGGAGAATTAAAGCCCCTCCCCCGTGGAAAGTTGAAGCCCCTCCCCCTCTCATGAAATTTAAACACATGCCCACATCTTTACTGCCCTCCAGAACATTTTATGGAAACCTCCCCACAGGAAAATTGAACCTCTTCCAAGGAAGTCAATACAAAGCCCCCCCCCCCTGCAGAAGTCAATACAAAGCCCCCTCTCCATTTTTAATTGTACCCCACCCATGCACCACACAGGAAATGCAGCACATGTGCACACACTATAGTGCCCATTTCCTGGAAATCTGCATACCGCAAAAATAATATACAGACACTCGGAAACTAATTAATGCTACCAGTAGAGATAATAATTTCTATTTCTATACCCACCAACCAGATTGATGAAATCAGTGAAATTGGAACAAAGTTCTCAAAAAGATGTTTTAAAATCGTTTTAAAGATGGGAGCCATTGAACAGTTCAAATGCCCTGCAAAGATGGTGAGATTAATACACATTCTGTTACAGTAAATCTATCTTTCATATCAAACCTTTAGTAACTAATGTAGGGTCTTTGTGTCAATTGTCTCATTTGCAGGATAATGTGAAAGTTCAGCAATTGATTAACAACCTAAGGCATGCACAGAAGTTTTGGACGGACAAAGAAATTCTGCAGCAGAGAAAACCTGGACGTCAAAGAAGGGTATGTGTTAAGAAATGCAAGTTAGAATTTCAGAAATTCAATGAAAAGTGTTTTAAGTGCAACAACTGATTGTATTGTGCATACGTGTTTTGTATGAGAGCAATGACAATTGATCTTACATTATGATTGATGTTGGTTGTTAATTTTTAAGCATTTTATTTAGGTTACTTTGGAAGGCCCTGATGAACCATCAGAAAGGTATTTATGTGTTGAAATATAACGAAGATAAAGTGTTTTGAGAGCAACTGAGCGGGGCATCTTGTCATGCTATATTAATGAGCTAACGGGCCGATTTCCACTACACAACTTTTGCCCAAAACAACTGTCACATGCAACCTGCTTACAACTTGAGTTGTATTGTGTAAATCAAGCACACAACTCACTTACGTTGTCGCAGGTGAGTTGTGTGTTTTATTTACACAATACAACTCAACTTGTAGGCAAGTTGCATGCGACAGTTTATAATTACATTTCAACGTGTTTTTTAGTGTGGATATGATGAAACATCGCGTATTTTTCACACTGTGGAATGGCGAGATGATAGGTCTACTTGTGGACGCCACATCAACATTCACCAGTGTCTATTTGCGTTTGTTTTCCTTCGCTTGTAAACCCAGTTCATGCTCTCTTTGTAAAATACGTCATCAGTCATGTGACCTCTGGGCGGTAGACACCACTGGCACAGGTACCAATGTCTTCTTGTTTCAGCACACATACACCGCGTGATTCTGAAATGCAAGTGCTTTACAGTATGACAAACATTGTACTTTATCATCCTAAAATAGCGAGACGTGTAAGAAAAGATGAATTTCTGATAGACCTGGGCAAAGCAGGACACAGTTTGTTTGTCATGGAACATCATCAAAAGGTTTTTCTTTTGTAAACTTATAATTTGAATATTATAAAGTGACGTTGACAATGTTGAATACTGAAAATTTATTTCTCCAGCTACTGGTGGTTTACTTCAGTGATGTTTCATATGAAACTATGCCTGTTCCTGCTGGAATAACAGCCAAACAGGTGAGACTTCTAGCGAGAACAGTTTAGAACTGATAGAGCTATCCAGTATAAATAAAGTTAGTTTAGTTTAGGTTTCCTCGTGTGGTAACACTGGATCAATAAGAGATGATTCTTACTGGACCTCTAGGAAGAACAGTTTAGAACTGATAGAGCTATCCAGTATAAATAAAGTTAATTTAGTTTAGGTTTCCTCTTGTAGTAACACTGGATCAATAAGAGATGATTCTAACTGGACCTCTACCGTAGGCAGAACAGTTTAGAACTGATAGAGCTGTCCGGTATAAATAAAGTTAGTTTAGTTTAGGTTTCCTGTTGTAGTAACACTGGATCAATAAGTGACGACCCTTAGTGAAACTGATAGAGATCCAGTTCGTCTTTTAATATTGACAAGATCGTCTTCTATTTCAGATATTGAAGCTTGACCAGATCGCGTCAAAGCTAAACGAACTGAGTTGTTTCGATCCAGGATTATTTTTACGTTATGAGAATGGAAAAGGTCAGAAGTTGTGTTTGCTGTCTTGGCGTTTGTTTTTGCGTTTGTTTTTACGAAAAGACGTATATTTACAACCAGCGCTTGTAGTGTCATGGTCACCACGCTTGCCTTTCAAGCTGGGAGACTCCGGTTCAGTCCTTGCTCGGACCTCTACTCAAGGTCTTAAGATAACTGAGGAGAAAGAGCTACCTTTATATTGACATCCGTAAATGGTTACACTTTCGCGATAAAATCGTTTTTACCTCGGATCCCCAATCAATTGGACAATAGCCTGTTGGGAAATCTGCTCACCAATCAGTGAGAAAGTCAATAAACTTAAGTTTTCTTTCTTTGTGTAGAAGTACAGTTTTGCATGAATGATAATCCGTTCAAATATCAAGAGTATGGTAAGTTGTCAAATAGTGTGTTGAAGGAATTTTAGAAGATGGGAAAACTATGTACTAGAGAGCTAACCAGGAGCGATGGCGAAAAACGCAACTAGAATGGACCTATTCCCTAATGAACAAAATTTTGAGCAAGACAAGTCTAGACAAACATTTCACCACATCTTGAAAGAGCATCGCAAAATTAGTAATATTCTGAAGTTTCGTTGCGAAATGTTGTAAAATGCGGATCATATAGCCCTGCGAAGTTTGCCGTTTTTCAGTCATTTTGTATTACGCACGGGAAATTGGTACCGCTTTCTGAAGAAAGGTATCAATTTCCCGCACGTAATACAAAATGACTGAAAAACGGCAAACTTCACAAGGCTATATGATCCGCATTTTACAACATTTCGCAACGAAACTTCAGAATATTACTAATTTTGCGATGCTCTTTCAAGATGTGGTGAAATGTTTGTCTAGACTTGTCTTGCTCAAAATTTTGTTCATTAGGGAATAGGTCCATTCCAAAATTAGTCCTACCAATTTTTGGGTGGTGTCCGTGTTGACCAAAACGTCGCTTGTTTAAGCTCGCTATTCTCTTTATTCGTTCAGGCAAGATCGTTGCAAGAAGCAAGAGAATCCGGTTAAACAGTTTGAAAAAATCCGATCATGAAATAATAGCGGAGATGCGTTGGAAAGAGGTTAGTTTGTTTCTTGACGAAGCCTCGGTTAAACGAGACATGTCATTATAGTCACACTTTTGTTGATGCCATTCATTTTCTAGTATGAGGAATTAATTTCTTCGATTTATTTTTCAATTTTAAAAGTTTTACACCTTGCAGTTTGAGGAACATCACAGAAGGAAGAAAGCGAGTGACATTGCTAATGAGCTTCTTGCTGGTCAAATTAGAAAATCATCTCGCATGGATGAAGAATTGTGTTTCGTTGATGATCATTTTGCGCTGAATAATGATGAATCTCGTTCATCTACCACCGCTGACCCACGTGGAATACAGGCTCCCTACGATGTAGTAGTACAGGGAGGTGAGGGATATGGATTACCAAAGTCACGTGAATATATTACTGAAGTTGGTGGTAATAATAGTGGTGATAATGGTGGCGGTAAGGATGATAGTGGTGGTGGTGGTACTGATGGTGGTGGTGATGATTTGAAGACTTGTGCTGACATAGATACCCTATCTGTTTCCACATGTTCAGAGCCGAATATTTCGCACCAATTGCCGCCTGGTTATGACGTGGTTGGTGTAACCAGCGATGAACATGCTGCTACAAAGTCACCAGACGATGGTTGTCCTAAAAATAGCACTGATGTCATAACCACAGCTGATGAGGTTATGACTGAAAACTTACAAGATAGAAATGATAATGATGGTGATGCAATGATGAGAGACTCTTTGGATAGTAACTATTCTAAAAATAACAATGACTTAACAAATACGTCGAATTGTATCGGTATTGAAAATAACCAAGATGTCGGTAAACAGTCTTTGTCTGATGGTGCTGGTACTAAAAATAACAATAATGTCAGTTTCTCGTTTGATCATAAACATGATGTCACTGAGACAACAGAACATGATGACGTCATCGACATGGTTTCCCCACGTGACGATTGTGTTTTGGACGCAAACCTAGTTACGTCAGATAATAGCTGTACTATAAATAACGATGATGTCACCAATACATCAGATGGTGCTGAGAATAAAGATGACATCATGGGTGAAAAATCATCAAATGATCAACTGGTTAAAAGTAGAAATGACGACACAAATATTCTATTCGTAGACCAGGAAAATTCCTCTTCAACTACCCAGTCAAACGCTGACCAGACTGGTGTTTCACGTCCATCAGATAGTAAACCACTCAACTCTGACGGTAATCCTAACTCTAGCCCTAACCTTGACTCTAACCTTAGCCCTAACACTATTCCTGCCACCAACCCTGACCCAAAGACGAATCTTGACCCAACTAAAGCTTCTAACCAGAGCCAAAAAAATTTAATGCATTCTCAATCTGATGGGTTGGTATTCCGAAAACAACGACAAGATGAAGAGAACTCTAGCCACACAACATCGCACCGGTCGCGTTTCAGGTCCTTGTCGGAACTGAACGGACGCTACTCGTTCACGAGCAACGAAACATGTGACAGTGCAGCCATATCACGTGACGCTCAGATCACGACACGTGGCGCACGGGCCATGTCGGAACCAGACTTGCTCGAAAAAGACGACGTTCTACGAGTCGGTGATGTTTTTCCCCGCAAGGAGAGCTCGGATTATTCTGAGGATGAAGTCATTTGTAGACCAACTGAGATCTCTTCATTGACTGGACCGACTTGGACCTTCGCAAAGAGAGTCGAAGAATGCGTTCGAAAAATACTGAATGTAAAAGATGACATTCCTCAAGTGGAGAAATTGATTTCTGAAGATTTGTGCAAAGTTCTCTATGAATTGCTTGACGACGGTTTGAAGAAAAACCTTTTGAGAATTTCATTTTTCTCCATTGGGTCAAACGTTTGGGATATTTGTCAAACAGTTTGTAAGGTAAAGAACATGTAAATCAATATCTATGCAGTACACCTATTTTGAATTAATAATCAGGAGATGCGGTTAACGTGCTCCCACTTAATTAAATAGGTACAGGCTATATAGAGTGGGGCCCTTACCCTCGTCCTGATCTTCGTATCTCTTGGTACTTCACCACAGGGAAGCCCGGTCCGGACATGAGATTCAATTACCATAACGGTGCTTTTCTGGGGGCCCTTACCTCCAAGAAACCGCACTTTTTGTCACCCAATTTGGCCACAAAGGATTTGCATGACTTATAAAAGATTTACTTAGGTTAGGTAACTTCCCTGCAAGTGAAAACTCAAGGAAGTCACGTTTGGTTGCTTGTCTTCTTTGCTTCGAGAGATCAAGGTCCTCCTCTAGTTCAAAAACTATCCTTCACCCTAGTTCAGGTGAATTGGTCAACCGCATCCTGTGTAATCGATATTGAAGAAATTATTACCATACTAATGAGATTTCTATTAAAATAAAGTTCCTTTATTGATAGGCTACGGAAGTTGGCATCGATGTAATACAACGAATCAAAGATGGCAGTATTGATCAAAAGTTTCACATATTTATTCGCGAGTGTATTCGACACAAGATCCTCAGTCGATGGTTTGAAGAGCTGTCCAGTGAAAACGTTCAGAAACAGATTATGAAACATTACGAACAAACTGCAGTCGTGTTGGAACCTGAACATTCCAAAGCCATTGAGCACCTGATGCTATATTTGGATGGACTGGACGTTTTGAAGTTACAGGAATTGAAAGCTCGTGAATCTGGTCGGAATATAGATTTCTTGATTAGTTTTGAGTAGTTTTGGAAGAGCTCATGTCAGTTGGTAATACAGTGCAGTCCTGCTAACTAACCATTGCCTTGGGGGTTCGAGTTAGCAGGGTTCTATACTGTGCAGTGATGTGTGCATGTTTGACTCTGTGACCAGGGTTAGTGGGGTATTCTGCGGTAATTTAGAAAAACAATGAGTGTTTATATAGCTGAAATAACCCACATTCATTCGTAACTAATTGTATTTTAAGATTTCCCGTTTTCATATCTGTAAATATTTTTGTTGGTCTGTAAATACCTTTGTCTTCTCTGAAAGAATATTTGTTCTTTTATTACACGTTTCTTTTCAAACTTGACTTGAACTAACGCAGCTTCTTAAATCGCTTTTGTGCGTTTGTTTTCACACAAAACTTTTAATTTCTTTCAATTTGTTCTTTAATTAAAGTATTTGTTAATGCCGTTGCCATCATGCACCTTGTGTTAAATTCAATTGTTTTCAACAGCATGTTTCATTTGTGAAGTAGGTATTCTCAAGAGACAAGCTAAGTATTTTTTGACGTTAGACTTAGAGATACATTTCTCGCAAAGTATGGGTATTTTATTTGCTGTTCTTGTGTTCTGTATTGCACCAGAGTTTGGTCGTTCTGTACCATTACAGAAACGAGGTAGGCAGGTGGACATTTTAGATTTTATTCTGGCTTCTCTAACCCAATTTTAATTCGGTGATCCACGATATGTGACTATTTCAGGTGCGTCAGACGAGATGGTGTTCGAGGGTGATATGATAATGCCAGTAGAGGAGGTAGAGCGCGCCATACGTGGTGATGATTTGGACGCTCCTGCAGGAAGAACTAGAGGTGCCAGGAGAAATGGACTGTGGCCAAATGCTGTTGTCCCGTATGTCTTTAGCAGCAGCATCAGTAAGTTGAACTTCCTCAAACGCCGATTTAAATTACACAATTTTTGCCTAAAACTGTCGCATGCAACCTGCTTACAACTTGAGCTGTACTGTGGAAATTAAACACACAACTCACTTACATTGTCGTAGGAGAGTTGTGTGCTTGATTTCCACAGTACAACTCAAGTTGTAAGCAGGTTGCATGCGACAGTTTTAGGTAAAAGTTGTGTAGTGTAAATCTGCCTTGAAATTATTCCACCCTAGTCCTGGCCTTACCCTTATTCAAACCCTAACCCCAGCCGTAGACATTCACAATACAAAATTTTATAGCGTGTATGTTAAAAATGACTTTCTTTTGCGATAGAGAACCCAGTTTTGAATTTAGTTGGTTTGAAAGGTCCAACAGAAGGAGCCATTCGTAGCGCTATGAAGGAATGGGAGGATAAAACGTGTTTGAAATTTGTCCCGAGAACTAATCAAGCTGACTACATTGAGTTTGTTGATGCAGGTTTTGGAAAGTAAGAATACTCCACAGATTCTAAGATATTAATCTTTACTCTTACAGGACCTCTAGGGAGAACAGTTTAGAACTGATATATAGAGCTACCTAGCTAGTATAGAGATTCGTTTGAAGATGTTGGAAAAGTAAATGAGATATCTTTTTCTAGATGTTACTCTCACGTTGGTCGTGTTGGAGGGAAACAAACAATCTCTCTTGGGTTCGGATGTTTTACTCATGGTATTGCTGTCCATGAGATTGGTCATGCAATGGGTAAGTCTGACTATTTTAATAATGGAAGATTTTTCCTAGTAAATTTTTATATATGTAATCTTAACCTTGTGTTTTAATCACCATTCCATGTAAATTAGTGTTGAAAAGCCTCTTTGAGGAACACAATAAAGTATGTATGTATGTATGTATGTAATTGATGACGAGTGACGTCTCGTACTTCCTGTAACATTATCGTTTTCGTCATTTTAGGTTTCTTCCATGAGCAGAGTCGACCGGACAGAGATAATTATGTTGAAATTATCTGGGACAACATTAAAGAAGGTTTGGATTTTTGCATCTTATTCTAAGCCTCGTTTATACTATCAAAGTTTCTGCGATCACAGTAGGAATTTTTTAATCTTGTTTTACACTATCAAAGTTTCTGTGATCACAGTAGGAATTTTGCATTGGTAAATTCTACGTTTTTAAGGATTTGTAAGAAATGTTTGAAGAAACTTACTCGGTGTTTAACATTGAATCAGTTCTCTCAAGTGTTTTTTACGAATCCTTCAAATTTACCCATGCAAAATTCCTGCTATTGCCACAGAGACTTTGAAAGTGTAAACCAGCCTTAAAACACATTGTATGATTGTAAAAATTTTGGTAGTATTATTCTTAACTATTCTTTCTAGAGGTTCAGTAAAGGCCATTCCTTGAAAGGCAAACAAACTTGTCTAAGCAAAATAACTCTCGGATACTTATCGTTTTCTAGCCAACAAATTCAACTTCAACAAATATGGCCGATCAAGAATCGACTCCTTGGGTGTAGAGTATGACTACGGATCCATAATGCACTACGGGAAGAGAGACTTCGCCAAGTGGCCCTGGCAGACGACGATCAGACCAAAGAAAGCTGGAGTGTCTATTGGACAGAGGAAAGGACTCAGTGTTCTTGATGTCAAACAAGCCAATCTTCTGTACAGATGTTAGGTAATTAATCCCGCCAGAGAGTATTTTTACCATGGTCAATAGTTTTTAGTTTTAATAAGCTTTCGTACATTTATACGAGGAGTTAAACAACAGAGCAAGCTCCAATCAAGGTGTAACTCCGAAAATAGAATAAGAAAGTTAGGAATCTTGATGCAGATATAATAGACCCCATTATCTATGTTTTTTTCTTGTGAATTTTCAATTGTAAATTAGCTAAAAAACATTTTCTATTCTGTGCTCTAGGCTCTCCGGCAATTTTTCTCGACGAAGTCGTAGAATACAACTGCCAAGTTATGAATAAAAGATTTTGATCAATCTAATAGCGTCGATTCAGATGAGTTTATATATTTTCTGTATTGTCCGTTGGCATGACTCTATACTCCGTCAGATTAATGGCCTTTTGCTTAGACGAAAGGTTTTTTTGAAACTGACAAAAATTGCCATATTTAGCGGTTATGTCTTAACTGCAGGGAATCCCAATTTCAAAAGTTCAGCATGAGCTTGACGTCTATGAATATTTTTCATAGTTCACTGCGGACTCTTATCCCACGCTTTTCTACACAACACAAGCAGAACTATTTAAAGAACGCCTTTCTTTTCTCAACGATTTCCGCTTTACTTTCCAAGCAAGGTTTTAAAATAGCCTTAGTAATTTTGAGGACCGGCATTTGCTTACCATTGCCGGACAGCTCTATGAAACACAAGCATCATCGTATGTGTATAATAATAAACGGAGTAATTTGAAGTTGATGAGTCGGTAAGACTTAGCGATGAATTGGTTTTGAGAAGTGTTTTGAAGGTGGACATCTTTTATTGACATGGATTGTTAGTCATCAGAACTGAAAGTGGTAAGTAATTAACCCATTCAAGTTTCTACGGTTGCCTTTTTATGTTTGATGTTTGCCTTAATTATTTTGTGGAAAAGCTTTCGTCAGGATCTTGATGACTGCTTTCATTACTGCAATTACTGCTAATATGATGAATATCTGGGCTTACAGATGTTTTGCTAGCGAAAATATAACCAAATACTCAGGCTGAAGTTTTACCACGTAAATCACTGGTGTTTTCCGCAAAACGAGTGAAATATATCTATCGCCGTGCAAACTTTAAAAATCTAATTTTTCTTTCATTTTTAGACAAAACTAAAGAAATGTTGTTGGAGATTTGTATCCTACTGTTAACAACAGCTATCCTCGTTCTTTACCTCACGAAACCTTCAAGACCCCCTGGCTTCCCTCCTGGTCCTCCAACGCTCCCACTAATTGGCAACCTGCACAATTTGGGCACCAAACTACACCTTCATCTAAACTCCCTAAAATCTATACACGGGCCCATATTCAGCATCTACTTAGGCCGAACACCTATTGTCGTTATAAACAGTATTACCGCGGCTCGAGAGGCAGTTCTCCGACAACGGGATACTTTCTCCGGGAGACCACACCCCAGTGAACTACCCTATGGTTGTCAGTTGGTAGGCAATCAAGGAACAAACGTAGGTTTCGGTGACGTCACATCAGAATGGAAACTTCAAAGAAAAATTGCTGAGCAAGCACTAAAGGATTTCTTTGGTAGAACAATGGAAGATCACGTGACAACAGAAGTGGGGAAACTTCTCGCGAGATTACGTCCACGCGTGGGAGAACCGTTAGAGCTTGGGCCCGACTTTGATTTGGCAATATTGAATGTCATATGTTCTCTGTTATTTGGAGTACATTACGAACTCGGGGACAGCGAATTTCAACGCATAGTCTATTTCAATGCGTGTTTCGCCGAGGGACTAAAACCCGGTCAACTTGTGGACGTTTTTCCATGGATAGCCAAATTTCCGTTACCAGGCCTCCAGAAGTTACGACACGCGGTTGCTATTCGCGACGAGATTTTAGACACGAAATATGCCGAGCATAAGGCGACGTTTGACGAGAATAATATACGTGATTTGACGGATGCAATTTTAAAAGCAAAGTATGAAGTTATAGATCCTGAAAACGACCTCAAAACCTCTTTAACTGAAGGTCATTTAAAAGCCATATTGGCTGACTCTTTCATTGCTGGGTTTAAGACCACTGCGACAAATCTCCGATGGGTATTTGTTTACCTGCTTAATAACCCCGGGGTTCAAGATCGTATACATCAGGAACTTTCACCCTACTCCGAACCTCCGGGGTTGAAAGACCGACCGGTACTTCCATACCTTCAAGCAACACTGGCCGAAGTATTGAGATGCGCAAGCCCGGTTCCTATTCCTATACCACATCGTGTGACCGCTGATACAACCCTGTGTGGATACCAGATCCCTCAAGACACCACAGTGTTTTTAAACCTCTGGGGAATCAACCACGATCCTGATTGGTGGGACCAACCGTTTGAATTTAAACCAGAACGGTTTTTCAATGCTGAAGGATTGTATGAGCCTCCATCGGCTTCACGATGTAGTTATATCCCATTCTCCGCTGGAAGGAGGGTTTGTCTAGGAGAGAGCCTTTCTAACGCAATACAGTACTTGTTTGTCAGCAGCCTGCTGCATGAGTTTATATTTGAAGTCCCGCTAGGATGTGAGCCGCCAGACACTGAAGAACTTACCACAGCGGTCTTGGAACCCAAACCATTCCAAGTCGTTCTCAAGAAAAGATAACATTTTAAACTTCATACTTATGTAATCGAAATTTTGTCCGTTTAACTTCGGTCTTTAGTTAACTTTTATTTTGAAGTCAAGGACTGCCTACCACGTTTGTGGAATAGCTAGTTCATTTTTGTGGCGTTTACAAAATTTTCTTTACAAATGTCAAATGATCTAATTAAACATTCAAATAAAAATTGAGCTCAAAATACCTTTGAGCACTTCATAAAGAACGTATTTATGAATTCTGTTTAGGATTTATGAATTCTGTTTTATGAACTCTATAACAACTATTCTCGATCAGGTTTTTAGGACAATTAAATCCAGTCAGAATAATCTCCTATCTCCCTAAAAGCTTTAGTTCCAAGTTTTACCCAAAATAAAACAATTTATTATTGTGCTTTATGCTTAACAAAACCAGAAATTATTTTGCCACCTGTTGAGCAAAGACCGCAAAGGACGCTTTGAATATTAAATAACGCCAGGTATTAGTGAAGAATTTAGCGTCGTTCAAGAGACCTGCACAGAAACGTAAAGATTTTCTTCTTCAGATCATCAGATATTGAAATAAGGTAAGACGAAAGTTTGTTGTATCTTTTCAGTTGCAAACTGTACGTTGTTGTTTGTGTCAAAGGCAGACCCTCGCATCAATCGAATAGAAACTTAAAACATTCCTGACATCGGACCTTGAAATCTCCCCGGTGCTGTTAGTCTTAGTTCACGTAGTCGTAGCACAGGCACACGACCCTTCATTAGTTTAACATCATACTTAACACTTGCATTCTTACTTCTTAGTCTTGCCTTGTCGACTGAGGAAGCAAAATGTTTGCCAAGAAATTTACAAACATATTTCGTTTACCCCCGTATGATTTTTTGTTGCGGGAACAATGTTTCCTAGTCTGCCCACCGTCGGGAAACATGGCTAGGAAACAATGTTTCCTGTTTTGTCCACCTTCGAGAAACATAGCTAGGAAACAATGTTTCCTGGTTCGTCCACCGCTGGGAAACAATGTCTCCTCTCTAACCTTCGAGAAACGTGACTGGGAAACAATGTTTCTTGGTGTTTCACCTTTGGGAAACAAGACTAGCGAACAATGTTTCCTGGTGTCCACCTTCAAGAAACATGGCTAGGAAACATTGTTTTCTGGCTTGGCATCTGACGATGTTTCCTGGTTTAGTCGCTTTCGAGAAGCATAGCTGGGAAACAATGTTTTTTCTGTTTACCACCTTCGGGAAACATGGCTAGGGAACAATGTCTCAGTAATGATGTATATCTTTTATAGTCTGTCCAGGGCTTTCCTAATATTCAAACTTCTACATTTTACAGCAATGGGTAGCACACTTTCGGCTTGGAAAGAGGACTTGGTGAATGCATGTGACTATGTTATGGATGAAAAAATTGTAAAAATGCCCGAAGTTCTACAAGATGAACGCTATATTCAATGGTGCTTGTATGAAAGATGGCGGAAGAAACGCAAAGGCACTTCGAAATACGTGCGCATGCAATGCCCGCTAGCCAGCGTACAACAGTTCTCGAAAGCAGGTCAGGATATCAGTGGCGGTCCCAGAGCAGTGGATTTTGCTATATTCAACACAAGCAAAGACTCTCCTCATGATATCGACACAGTGCCCGCGGTATGTGTGGAACTGAGTCTCGCCAAGATGAAAAATGAGACTTCCTCACAGTTCCGTGAAAGATGTTTGAAAGATATCTTCAGATTAGCTTATCTACGCCATCATTTCAAAACTGAGAAGGCATATTTTGTTATGTAAGTATGGAAATCACATTTTTGTTTTGGTAGCAGTAGCCTGATGTAAGATTGGTTTACACTATCAAAGTTTCTGTGATCACAGTGTTTTAACAAAGAGTCCGTTCCGTCAAATATTTCTTATAAATCCTTCAAGAATTTACATATGCAAAATCTCCTAATACTTTGACAGTATAAATCAGGCGGTACAGCAGGACATCAGATCCGTCAAGATGCATCCTGGCTTGAATTTTAGGTCTCAATAATTTCCTTTTCAAATCTCTTTTGCCAGGTTTGGGACTGAAAACCAATTGTTCCAAGTCACGGAATCGTTGAAAATGTTGAAAGGAAAAGAAAGCAAGTTAAAATGGAAAGACCTGGAAGAGCTTGGCGCTGAGGAGGAATTGAGGAAGAATCTTGACTGCACGTGCCAATCATGCGGTCGCTTGGAAATGTCATGCTTGAAAAGCGTGGTCCCTAAATTGAAGATTGTTCACGAGAGAGTGGTGATGCACAAGGCATATTGGTGCAAGATCTGGGAGGTTGATGCACCGCCCAAAAGATAAATACGACACAATTCAATCATAGAGAAACTTTGTCCTTGCGATGATACTGAATGAGAAACCTAATTATTATTAAACTATTTCAAAAAGTCTTTTCAGGATATAGGCCGCATAAAAAACTGTCGCATGCAACCTGCTTACAACTTGAGTTGTACTGTGTAAATCAACCACACAACTCATCTACAACAATGTAAGTGAGTTGTGTGTTTGATTTACACAGTACAACTCAAGTTGTAAGCAGGTTGCATGCGACAGTTTTAGGCAAAAGTTGTGGATAGTGTGAATCAATGGTGCAAATCGGCCAAAAGAAAGCTGGTTGGTACATTGAAGTAATTGTAATTTATAATTGATTTTTTTAAAGCTGAATAAACATCATACGTTAAGTGTTACAATTCTTACTATGAAATGTCGTTAACTTTTTAGTATCTTATTTATAATTCTGACTATCATTGCATTGGTCTTTTTCACTGATAGATCACTGGTCTTTATGATATCAATGCTATTTATGCGCACAATTAAAACGATTAATAATATAAAAATTAAAACTATATCTATTTTCTAGTGCGAAAAGAAATTAACAGGCTAGCTTGTGAAGTATGTCATAGAATGTTGTAGGCTTGAGTTCTCATGCCATTTGTAGTGCAATAAGAAAAGCAACAAGCAAAAACAGGTTTTCCAAAGCTGGTCTTGGAGCAATGCTCTTCACAAACTTTGTTGTTGTTTTTGTTGTTGTTGTTGTTGTTGTTGTTGTTGTTGTTCCTTTGACCCAGTTGCGTTTCTCATTAAACTCCGCCACACTCCATGTAAAGCTTCTACAACTCGTCATACCGTTTGGCGGCGGATTCTGGCGGGTCTCGACTTCATTGATTACCACTGCCATACCTTCCAATTGATGTGATTCAATATGACAATGCAGGAACCAATGCCCGGGGTTATCGGCGATAAACTCGACTACGACATAGCCACCCGAGGGAACAATTACCGTATCTTTACGCACTGTCTTGCTCGTGGCCCTAAACAGGCCAAAAGGTGGTATATTTGCCTCCCAATTTGGTGCCCGGGTGCACGGTGTGTTACATTCCAAATCATACGAAGAACGCACGAGCCTACCTTGAGAGTTGTACCGGCCATAGCCAACTTCTACCACGTGAAAACTGTGTCCGTGTAGATGAATCGGGTGGGAAAATCTACTGTTGCTGGTTGTACTCAATGATGAAAGGACGAATCTGTTAATTAAAACAACCGAATCAAGAAATAGTTTAGCAGCAGTATTTTAAGCGTTTTTCATACGCACGGAAAGTTTTAATCTTTCTAAATTTTATATAAGTACTAATTACTCCAACAAATACACTTTAAATCCTCTTTTCAACAAAACTAGCCCATGCTACGCTACGTTGATATAGACTCACGCTTAAAAACGCGCAACTTGTTCAGGATTGATAACAGCAATTGAACAATGTTGTTTCGCAAAAGAAAACTTAAATTTGGAAAAAAGATGCACATTTTGGATTAGGAAAATCTATACTGTATATGTTACCTTCAAATATTATGCAGATTTCAAATTTGTTCCTTTACTACATATTAGTATTGTAATTGAAGTTATGATAACTTTAGTATAAGCACATGCCGGTTACAATACCATATATATATATATATATATATATATATATATATATATATATATATATATATATATATATATATATATATATATATATATATATATATATATATAT